GGGGCGTGGTGGTCAGGACTGTCAGAGCAGCAGCAGCAGCCGCCGTGGCTGTCGGCCTCCAATTAAACAATCAGCGTGGAATTTGCATACAAATATCGCGTGTTTATCATTGGGGTGATTGGTCAATTATATTTTTTTTTCCAAAAAAATAACCTTTTAAGTCTGGTATTGGTATCACATTTATCTATTTAATGGTCGATAAAACTAGTAAACAACTTCTTCTTGGTTCTTTCGGTAAAGTCACGTAGAATGGAAATAATAAAAATAAAACATAATTAAATAATTATCACGACGTTTCGGCCACAACGCAAGCAGCCGTCCTCGACAGACCTGTTCTCCACCTGAGGACGGCTGCTTGCGTTGTGGCCGAAACGTCGTGAGAATTATTTTATTATGTTTTATTTCCATTATTTTATTATTTCCATTCTATGTGACTTCACCGAAAGAACCAAGAAGATGAATCCCTGCAGTCACGAAAGCTTTAAATCGAAATAGTAAACAACTTGGTGAGATGTCACAGTGGTTTGTTTACCTTTCCTATACTTTGCGCTCCTCTCGTTGTTTTTGTATTTGTCGTTGTTACGTTCTGATCTTGCCCTTACTAGACGTCTGCGGGGAAAAAAATGCTTCATAGCTCATCGGATTCCTCCAGGATAAATACATATTCTGATTCTTACAGTGGCTGTCCACGACACCGTCCGCGTCAAAGGAACTTGGAGTGGAGAGAAGCAACACGGACTATTAAATGATTGGGAGTGGTCGTAAACTACTTATTCGTGTCATTTGTGGTTATTTTAATCAATGGCTACGGCCCTAAAATTCAGCGTGAAGTATTAAATAATTGGGCAAACATGGCAGGCAAGATTCCGTAGCAAATGAGTCTTGAGACTGCATTATCATAAATCAAATCTGTAAGTTAAAAGAAACCCCATCATAGTGCCGGCTGGAAACCCCTAAGTTTCAAAACAGCCACACACGCGGAGAATGCACTCAGCCTCTGAACCGTATGCAATAATTAATCAGAAGTTCATGAACAAGTGCATTGCAGCCTGCTGACGTGTATCTCGCTGCTGCTGTCAGTCACATTTGATGGCGATCTAAGACAAGATCAAGTTCAAGTTCATTTATTAGGTATAGCCCTGTGAGCCATTCAGCTCTTGAATCGGGTGCAACCGCAACAAACAAAAAACATGAACAAAAAACATCTTAAAGTGAATATGTGACTAAGTGCAAACAGAAAATCCAAGAAAAGACAGCAAAAATATTGCAGAAAAAAAAGATGAACACCTTCTTGGTTCTTTCGGTAAAGTCACGTAGAAGGGAAGTAATAAAATAATAAAAATAAAACAATAAAATAAAATAATTCTCACGTTTCGGCGACAACGCAAGCAGCCGTCTTCATGTGCTGCTTGCGTTGTAGCCGAAACGTCGTGAGAATTATTGTATTTTATTATGTTTTATTTTTATTATTTTATTACTTCCCTTCTACGTGACTTTACCGAAAGAACCAAGAAGATGAATCCCTGCAGTCACGAAAGCTTTAAATCGAAGATTAACACATTACACACTTCATGAGAAACTTGATAGTTTTGCATTGCCGACGTTCTTGGGCTGCGGTCGTCCATTTGGAAGCACTGTCTAGCTCAATGGGCCTTACCAGCTGAAATTAAGTCCGTGCCTGAACATATTCAAGAGGGCGTGTGTGCGCTTTTAACGCATTTAAATGTGGAGCGGAGCGGTGGCACAGCCGTGAGAATACTGCATTTGGACCCAGAACACCCGAGTTCAACTTCAAGCCACGGCTCACAGCAGTGACAAGTGATATCTGAACAAGTCCTGAGCTTCCCTTTCAACCCGCACTGATCAGCATGGAGTATGGTACAACCTCCACGACGAACAAAGCATGGCGAGGCCTTCATCCAACAGTGGATTGACAAATGTATGCATGTTTTATTTACACTTGGAGCACTTGATTTTCAATCGGAAATTAGCTAATTAAAACCTCCAGAAACGGTCTTAATTGCAAGGCCCGTGGGTCACTGGTGGCCTTTAGTGTAACCTCGACAATACACAAATAAACACCCCTTGCAGGCGGTGTGACGGCCCTCACAATGATGTCTTATCGGCAAAAAGTGCCCCCCACCCCACTCTGAAAATCAGTGAAGAACACTAGCCTCGCCCATCATTCCTCCGGAACAAGACGAGTACCACTGTGGGTTGTCAACATCGGCGTGCTATGCGAGGACTGCCCCCCCCCCCCCCCATCATGAAAATGTGGAATTTCGACCATTGGATGAGGGCCAACAACAAAGAAATGCGTCACCTCAGTCGTTTGATGGCTTCCCAACATTTTCCATGCTTTGACAAAATAAAATGTTCCAAAACAAACCAAACACTTGAAAATGTTTTTATTATTGAAAAGTATTCGCTCGAACATTCAACAAACGCGATGCAAGTTTCAAGAAGCCAACACACGATACTGCAGCAAAACCAACCCTCCAGAGCATACACACTGGGAAAACTCCAACAATTGTATGCAATGTACGCAACCACGTAATGCAACAAAGGCTGTTGCCAAACTTGACATCATATATTCCAACAGATCCCACTTGGTCTCTTCAGCCCATTAGTTGAGCTGCCACTCCACCACCTATTGTTGTCATTCTACACTTGATGCCATCTCTTCCAGTCCCTGTCAATGATGGGCCAAAGCTGGCAACTGTTTTTGCGTTTTCCTCGATTTATCCTAATTCTGCTATCAGTCATGTAATGGGGACGAATAATTATCAATTGCGAATTCTTAGACCGATGCAGCCCTTCTCGTTGGGATAAAGGCTAACAAGACACAGATTCCAATGTCAAAAGGGTGGAATTTAAATGAATACAGTGCAGAATCTAAAAATACAGTTCCTTATTTAAAAACATTTTTGTTGCACAATTAAGATCAGCTGAGCTGACCAGGTGGTCCAGATGCCAGAGCGCTGAGCTGGCACCGTTGAGAGATCCTGGATTCAATCCCGACAGCTGCCTGTGATATGATTTAGTTCTCAAGTGTAGCGAGTTGATGGTGCTCTCAAGCTTGGTCAGTAATTACTGCACACGAAAAAAAAACATGAAAATTTGGTTCGGTACTTAATTTGGAACTACAGGTTCGAGAACTTTAAATATTGGTCCGTCATGCAACGAATATTATTCGTGTAGCCAGATGCATGTGAATGTACTGCCCTCTACAGTGTTGACCAGAGGTCGCTTGAAGGGATCTCAGTGGTAGCTGTGACATCTGCTTCCATGGGCCGTTCTCAAACATGAAGGACTGCAGTGAGCTGGGAGAGTTCCCAATGGATCCTTCGTCTCTGACGATGCAAAGGCACAATCAGGATAACATTGGGGGAAAGGATTGCATGCACTTTTTTAAAGCTACACATGCATGAAGCACAAACTCCCAAACAAACATCTCCATAAACCCTCTGTTAATAAACAGCCACATTCTTTGGTACCAGCCTGTAAATTACTCGTAGGTTGTCAATGGTGCTGCACGGGTCTCTTATATGTTTTCAGGTTTTTTTTCAGCGTGTTGCTTGCCATGTCCGACATTTTGATCCACACGCTGGAAGCTGCAATTTCTCAATTCAATTCCTGAAGCTCCCGACACAACCGGACAACGCATCTTAGCCTGCAGATTTATAAATTCCACACGGAAAATCGAAAAGGGCGGTGTGCTAAAAAAACACAAACTAGGTTGCTGTGAAAGTTGGGGGCACACAATGAATTGTTGGATTTTACCGGATGTGTTTAACCTTGGAATCCATTGCTATTGGATTCCATACAACCCTGTAACATGGGTTTTGCAGTCCAGGCCATTGCATATATACAAATGTGCATAGGTAGGTCTACATTTTCCACTATTTTACAGGTCCCTCATTGACTGGATTAGGCATCACTTGAGTAGTAGCCACAGCCAGAGGTCTACTAGACGTGGTGTGCTGGGTACAGAACTTCTTTCAGAGTTGCTGGCCTGGACCCAGATAAAATTAAGCCCTGAGCATGGGTCTGTTTAACCAACAAAAACGCTTTGCAATCAACAAAAATTACAACTTAAACACACAACTCTCAACAGGCAATCACGATCCAATATTTACCTGCATTGTTTAAGACAAAACCTGGACCGGTTTTGACTTTTATGATACTCATCAGTAGAATCCAGCCAATTAAAACAAAACTTCCTGGGTTGCCTGGTCCTATGGATTCCCTGTTAGCTACGACCAGGCATGAACGCTACTGTTGAGTAACATTGCCGAACAATGAAATAAAGACACCACTCTCAGCTACCCGTCCTCTTCCAGCTATTTGCGTGAACCTTCAGCATGTATATAAGCGCCTCATTCTTGGCTTCCTTACACGACTAATACGTTTTAGGTAAATAACATTACAAGCAGCCTTCTCCGTATCTAAAACACCAGCTTGCAAAGGTATCCCGGCAGGGTGAGCGTTAAATCATTGTTTAACCAAACGGTCTTGGATGAGGGATCAACCAACATTAACATTTGTATGACGAAGCCATTTACCGGCGGTGAGATGGCCCAGTGGGTTGCGGTTCGAGTCCCACGGCCCTCCCCGGTTAATACCGAGGGAGTATGAACATGAAATACGCGCCCGGCTCCTTAAGTGGACATTAAAAAGATCCTGAGACTGCAAAACTTCTACAAGATCATCAACTATCCCGAAATAGCATGACAGTCCTAAAAGTTTTCAACTGAGGCTCTCCTGGCATAATAATAAAGCTCCTAGGCTTCCCAAAGCAATTATAGTTCAATATTTCAGTTGCCTAAGAAACGTCATTGAAAATCTTCTTAGTTCTTTCGGTAAAGTCACGTAGAAGGGAAGTAATAAAATAATAAAAATAAAACATAATAAAATAAAATAATTCTCACGACGTTTCGGCTACAACGCAATGCGTTGTAGCCGAAACGTCGTGAGAATTATTTTATTTTGTTTTATTTTTATTATTTTATTACTTCCCTTCTACGTGACTTTACCGAAAGAACTAAGAAGATGAATCCCTGCAGTCACGAAAGCTTTAAATCGTCATTGAAAATCTCAGCTGAGGGATAATCAGTCCAATAACTAGCATCGATGTCAGCAGAAAGGTCATATAAATGTGATAATATATAGCTCTTGAAATATACTAAGTCTTGAGTGATGCTATATAAATGTAAATTATTATCTACAAATTGTAAAAAAATATTAAGTGGACAGTTATTTATATTACAACAAAAGTATTTGAAAGACATGTAAACAACGGGTATAACCATGGCCCTGTCTCACTGCAGCCTGAATAAGTCAGGAGCATTAGAACCATAACAATTGTTTCTAAATCTTATAACTCTAATAATTATTTACAGCCCTTTGTAAATTTGAAGCTGAAGGTCTTCCCACTGCGTCGGTCGAAGAGGCATTCGACCATACTTCACCACACCCGTTAGTGCAGCTTGGTGAAGTTGGGTTGGCCCACGAACGATTTAAATATCACTCGCTACTGATAACAGCTGTGGCCAGGAATTGAACTCGGCTGGCTCGAATCTGTAGCACACCACACCTAAGTTCTATGCCACCACTTCCGATATTTCAGGAACAAAAACACTCGTTTGAGGATGTGTAATGCGAGTCAACTCTAAAGACTACAGCAACAAAGCATTGTGGTGTAAACTGATATTGTTATTCTTTTACATTTTCCACTGCACAATGAACAGTAATGAGAGGTCCGATTTGTGAGTACATGACATGCTAACGTCATACCACAGAACGCGATTGTTTACAATTTACTCTAGCAATTATAAGCGACCAATACGACAACGCTACATTAAGGCAAATGGAGGGCAAACAAAACTGTACAAGTTAGACTCAAAACAAAAATATTAAATATACAAACGAGATGGTCAAAATAAGACAAAAAAAAACCAATCTATTCTTGAATGGAATAGCTACGGCAGTGACGAGTTACACACTTAGCAGGTGCAGGCTGCTTAGGACTGCAAAGTTTCTGAAGCAAACCCCCAAGGAAAGAAACGTCCAGACCTAGGGCTTGAACCCAGAATTTCAGCGGTGTTGATTCAGTGTCACCAACACGGCCATTATAAATGTGTATGAAATTCCTGCACGGTCGCAGGCAGACTGCTGTTGACTAGAGTGTGTCCATGGTGGCCATTATGAGTGTCGCTTGTTAAACAAAAGGGCTGGGGTGCCACAGTGAGATGTCATATTCTTAGCCTCTCCCCCCCCCCCGAGTGCTCATGTGAACACGGTGTTGAGAGGCAGAATGAAAACGAAGTGCCGAACCAATATTCTAAAAGATCAGTTGCTCCATGTGGACGAGGGTGCGTAGGTCTTCACAGGCCTTCATGGCAGAACTTAGTGACAGATCAGAAGAAGGGGGTGCTGAAATCCTGATGGGGGAGGGGCAGACAACAGAGATGAACAAGCAGGTAAATGGGGAGATCCGACAAGGATAGAGGGGCATGTGCATAGGGAGGGGCTGTTAAGTTTATGCTTTCTCACCGTTAAGTTATTGAAAATGTATATTAAGTAACTGTGAATTTGTCATCTACAAATCCAGTCAGAGATATGTCTGTCAGTCGACCATCGTCTACAAACCACATTTAAGATGCTTTAAATGTAACATTTAATCTCGTCAGAAAAGTGACCTACGAATCATACTTATTTCTGGGAAAGCGTTAACTTGGAAGTATTTATGGGAAATTGGGACCCAACTCGCATTGCAACTCAAGTGACTCAGCAAATCACGGGAACGCCACATTTTTATCCAACTTTAGTCGTCTTTCAACTGGAGGTCAACTCCGGCAGTCCCATGGAAACAAACCATTTGTTGCAATTATTTTTTCCCCCCATTGTAAAACAAAGCCAGTCCAGCGCTGCTCAGTAGGCTGATTTTAGATTGCAGAGGTCGAGGCCGAGACGTGCACATCACTCGCAATTGTACGAGTTGAGATGCGTGTACACAACATAGAAAAGCTGTGTCATCAGAGCGTACCGACTGACATTACACATCATACAATTAATGCGTAATCAGACCCACACCGAGCCCTCACTTCGCCCACAGCCAGCTTAAGGTTACGTGAGGTCGGCATATCACGATTTGGTTCTGGCTCAGCGTGAAAAATAGCCAATGGAAAACCACTCTTGCTGTGAGGTGGCAAGATGTTAACTACCTTGCCTGGTCCAAAGGAGGTCGTGGGAGCTTTGATCCCAACCCTGACGCTTGTATATTTGGAGTTTGTTCTCGTGATCACGTTGATTTTTATCCACGTCCTCCAGTTTTTCACCTCGACATTTAATAATATATATTTTACAGTATTTGGCTGCTATAAATGTTCCCATAAGCCACATCGTTGAGCTATTATTAGTGGACAGGAGGCTTCTGAAAACGAGCTATATAGCCAGTGGGCCTTACCTGGTAAATTAAAAAGTTAAGTTTAGTTTAGCTGGGTTGGCTTGGATGTGCCAGTGGAGAAGGGGTCAGTATCACCATCAATAAACTGTTCGTACCACATCTGTGTCCATAGCTTCCTCTGGGTTGCTCAGAAGTTGACTTCCGCGTGATGTAAACCCGCTGATGAGTTTATCCGCTTTCGTGTTGTCCTCGTCATCGTCATCCTCATCCTCATCGGAAGCCTCCTTCGTTACCTCAGATATCAAACTGTGGCCCCTGCGTATGCACACAAATTACAAACATCCACCGTTTATACTTTAAGAAACTGTTGGGGATAGTGCTGTTAAGCGAGCACCTATGAAAGTCGGCACAGCACACATGGGGATGGAGGTGGCCAGCACCATGCCCGGCTCCCTTTGCCTCCTCAGTTACAATGCTTTCACATCACACCAGGTACTCATTTGAGTCTGAGTTGACCGCAGGGAGGCCCAGGACTGGTTCAGATAATCATCACTGGTATTGGCCATGAGCAAGAATCGAACTCGGGTCGCCATGTTCGGAGCGCAGCATGCTAACCACTCCACCACTGCTCCATGACACACACCCACACACGAGCACATACATCTACACTTAGAACACAATACAGAATTACACAAATACGTATACATGGCAAACACACCACACATAACATACAAAACCACACACGCAAATATACTGAAGAACAATACGCACACACAAAATACATAAATATAGACACAGACAACTCCACACACAAATTACCAGACACCGCACAGACCAAAGACAAAGACCCACCTTACCATATAGCCTTAATACGGGACAAGTGCTGTTCGCGAGCAACTAAGAATACCTTGCTGATCTCGTCAAAGAGCATAAACCATCACGTGAACTCTGGTCATCCTCGCAGCAGCTTTTGGCGAGCTATTGAACAAAGAGTCACTGACTACATCTCGTACTTTCGGGTGCCCTTCTGCCACCATCTGGAATGCTCTTCTTTCCGATATTAGGAATCCACTGGAGCTATACAATTTTAAATCTAGATTGAAACCTCATTTCTATACAACTGCTTATTGTATTTAATTTGTTGTCCTCCTGCATCTCCGATGAGCACGGGTGGCTACGAAAGAAGTTCAAAATACATACGTATAAAAAGGCAGGCACAGCACATACACAAACAGATACACCTCACACACCAGGATTACGCCCCCTACCACCCCCCTCCTCCGCTCACCTCGAGCGAGTGTAGACATTTCCCATGGACCCAGCCGACATGGAGCCTCTGCTGCTCACATTGCCACGCCGCGCGGTCGCCATGGCGACCCCTTCTCCCCCCCTCAGCACCGTGGAGGTGAGCTGCGGTGTCGCCGGGGTCGCGATGGGGGTGCGGGCACCCCACTCGAGGCCTGAGGCCTCCGTAGACACGGAGACTGAGTCGGTGGGGGGGGGAGGTGGTGGGGAGAAAGGAGGAAGACCGAGGGGCAGGTGAGTAACAATCAGTGCTTTGAGACAATATGCACGTCTGTGTCTGTCTGTGCATGTGTCCGAGACAGGAAAAACAACCCCCGCCTCCTCAGTGGTTGCAATTCGGCAACTCGTGTACCTGTAAGCAATGCCACTGGCGGGGGGAACGATTGACAATCATCAGCTGTTACCCTCATGGTGCCCGTAGCCGCTACATTGGCCAACGGGAACTCTGGGTGTGCACAAGGGGTGGATGACCCCCTCTACCTTCAACTAAATGACCAAAAACACACAGCAAAAGAACAAACTAAGCTTGTGCCAGAGGCCCTGGGAGGACAGGTGCCCATGACGTCTCCTGGCCAAACCACATTTGGCGGAGCCAGGAGATGGAAGCACCCCCCTTGGGGTTGCTTCGGAAACAGGAAACTACTGAAAGTGGCCATGTCGAATGTTCGATTGCTCACCTGCGGAGAGGCTGCCACTCCTGTGCCAGAAGCTGGACCAGTACCGCCTGGGCCGTGGTGACATTACTGCCACTTAGTGAATGGCAGTTGTTGTTGTGTACATCTCCATGATGTGTGTGTGTTGTCCAGGTACATATGCATCTTGCACGTGTGTGTTGTCAGTCTGTGGTGTGTGTACATCTATCTATGTTCTTTTGGTAAAGTCACGTAGATATAAAATAAAATAAATCACGACGTGATTTATTTTATTTTATACCTACGTGACTTTACCGAAAGAACCAACGAGTATGGATTCCTGCAGTCACGAAAGCTTAAAATCAACATCTATCTATGTATGCGGTGCCTGTCTCCTGTGTAAATGGTGATAACCGTCTCTGTGCTGTGTGTAGACCATGTTGCGTGTGTATACGTGTTGCATGCGTCTAATGTTCGTATTCACGTTGGTGCGTGTCTCGGTGAGCAGTAACCGCGCGAGCCTCACTGTTGGCACTGCCGTGTCTTGTGCGGATCCTGCGTCCGGCGCTGGCATCAGTCGCCGGGGTGCCAACAGGACCATCTGGCTGAGCGGAGGCGGTCAGAGAGTTGCGGTAGGTGAACACAGGCTGCCACTCCGAGTCCAACACGCTCCTACGCGTGGGCGGCTTGTAGCTCTCCATGTACCCGCAGCTGAGACAAAGGAGGACCATGAATGTAGCTTACACAGACTGTTGGGGCAAGTGCTGTTAAGCGAGCGCATATGAAGACCGGAACGCCGCACAAGGAGGTGGTGCAATTAGCGCCATGTCCTGACCAACAGTCTTTGTCTCCCAAATGCTGATGTTTACACACCGCACCAGCTACTCGTTTAAGGCCATGGCGACCGAGGGGAAGTTCAGGATCGGCTCGGATATCAATCGCCACAGATGTTCGCTGTGGCTGGAAACTGAACTTAGACAGCTGAGTTCGTAGCGTATTAGTCCGAGGCACGCGACCACAAAAACTACGCGTTAAACCGACTTACGGTTCTTTGTAAATTCACTGCTGGATTAATATATACCCCACGCCATGTCAGTCATGGGGGTTTTTTTGCCCATACTTCACCACACTGGTCAGAGCAGGTCAGTGACGTGTGGAGAGTCCCTGAAATGGTTCCAGGAATCTAATTCAGGACACTGGGTTCACAGCAAAGTGCACTAATCACTGTGCCGCTGTCACCCGGGCCCCAACTGCCCCCTCCGGCTAGAAGAAAACCATGACTCAAGGGAGACACAAGGCAAAAGAGACACGCAGAAACAATCGTCACCTGGCGTGACACAGGTGAAGCGACCCAGGAGGCAGAAATTAGTCCAAATTAAGTAATAGGGTTTTACCCTTTCATCTGGTACAAAAACTGACACCTTTATGCAAGGGATCATGTTTGCAATAACCACAACACAAGCAGTCAAAATGCAAACAAAAAGAAACAGCTCTGATAATGATATGCACTGTCCTTGAAGTTGATTGGTCCACACCCGAGACAGCTTTTCTTAGAGCCTAGTCTCCATTGGTGTTTGACCAGATGACGCCAAAAGGCGTACAACTCAAAAACAGTGCACTATCAGAGTATTGAGAGCTCGGGGTAAGCATTTACACTTTGAGACCTCCTTTACCAGTAGCAAAATATAGTAATAGGTTTTTACCCTTTCATCTGATACAAAAACTCACACCTTTATACAAGGGATCATGTTTGCAATAACATCTTTTTGTTTGCATTTTGACTGCTTGTGTTGTGGTTATTGCAAACATGAAAGGTGTCAGTTTTTGTACCAGATGAAAGGGTAAAAACCTATTACTATATTTTGCTACTGGTAAAGTAGGTCTCATAGTGTAGTCCAAATGAGTTTAAAAACGCTGCTGGATACCGTTGGTCTGCTGCAGCAGTGTCGCGGTGGTTAGCGCATTAGCGACACCGTTTACATGATGGCATCATCATTTATTTATTATTGCCATTCAATGTAGAACTCGAGAACCAGAATTATGAATTTCAATTATTATTAATACACCCAAACAATACCCCCTACACCCCAAACGCAAGTATGTTGGCGATAATAATGAACGGAGATGATGCCGGAGATGGTGATGATGCTAATAAACAAGTCAAGATGATGAGGACTACGACGGTGTCATTAGCGATGATGGCAATGAACGGTGAAGATGGTAGAGTGACGATGGCGATGATGAAAGGGTAGAGACGGTGGTTGAGAGGCTACGTACAGTGTTTTCTTGTCCTGAGAGAGGAGCTTTGGGGAGAACTCGCACAGCACCTCCAGGAAGAGGATGTTCGGCGGAGCATTGCCCAGCTTCCGCGCTTCGAATGCAAAGTCTATGCCGTTCCTAATGACAAAGTACACCACATTCACACACACACACATACAAATGCACAACACTGATAGGCACACATACACAAGTATTCACACTTACACACACACGGGCACTTGCGTGCACAAAGACAAAGATACCATGTATAGCTTTAACAGACTTGTAGGGGCAAGTGCTGTTAGCAAGCACCTATAAAGGTCGGCACGGCACACGAATTTAGTAGAGCGAGAAGCCAAAGCCACGTCTGGCTGCCTTCATCTCCCTAGTAGTGATATAAACACAGCACACTTTTTACTAATTTGTGGCCGAGTCAAGATGAAGAGGATGCCCAGGACCAGTCAAATATTCGTCACTGTTATTGGTCACGAGCGGGAATTGGCATCAGCTCGCCGGGTTCATAACTCAGTGCGCTAGCCACTAGCCACTACAAAGATTCGCCATATTGCCTTAATAGACTGTTGGAGCAAGTGCTGTTTGTGATCACCTATGAAGACTGGCACAGCACACAAGGGGGGTAAGGTGCCAAGCACCACACCGCCTTTATCTGTTTACCCACCACACCGGGTACTCATTTGAGGCCGAGTCGACCTAGGGAAGGCCCAGGACCGATAAAGATAATCGTCACTGGTGTTGACCGTGAGCAGGAATGGAACCCGGGGTCGCCGGGTTCATAGCGCAGCACGCTATCCGCTCCACTATCGCTCCCCACCAGTCACTCCCCAAACATACACACACATGCACGTACTTGTGCAGGGCAGCTATGGCGTGCCGCGAGCGAACAGCGTCCATCCCAAACGTCAGCGAGAAGCGACGCGCCAGCTCCTTGACGGGAACCAGGTTTGACGTCTCCTCCAGCGTCACCGTGAACATCTGCCCACAGTCACACGAGGTCACGGGTTGGCTTATGGGGTCATCCAGTGTCAGTACTCCAACATGGCCATTATGAAGCAAACGAGGAGACACCCATGAGTGCGGGGGTGGAGGCATCACCTGCTTGAGCGTGAGGGCGAGCGTGTGGGCATACTCCATCAGGTCGATCTGCCTCAAGCGACTCAGCGTCTCCTTGATGATGTCCCCGTAGTTGATGTAGAACTGAGAGCAGGACGAGGAGGATCAGGGTATAAGGAGACCATCAAATAATGTTTGATGCAACGAATGCAAGGAGGCAAAACACAAATTAATGTTTTAAATTCCTGCACTGGCATTGGCGCAGAAGACACGGCCGGGGTAGAGGGAGGCGTGACGTCAGCACAACGCATGAAACCAGCTCAATGCTGTGGGATGCAAGTGATGGTATCACGCCGCAGATGTGCGTCGTGACGTCACCACCATGCACTTGCCGACAAGTGCACCCGCCAGCCAGTCTGCCAACAAAACTTAGCTCCTTCATATAATACTTATACCGTAGTACCCCTCTTAATGACTCGAACTGGTTCAATGAAACCAGTCGTTAAGTGATTTGGTTGTGAAGCGAGTAGAAAATACATGTTAAAGGCTTAATTCGTTCCGATAGCATCGAAAGTTACCCTTTTTCACAAAAAAACTTACTTTATAATATTTAAACAACATTATAAACACATAATATTAAAAGACACATGGTTAATAAATGCATCAATTAATATTAGTGTACCTACAACAAAAATCTTACCTTGGGCTAAAAAGATGACTGGCAAACACTGAATGTAAACAACGCTCATGAATGGACGTCGCTAATTGGCCGAAGCCTGCTCAGACCACTTTGGAGCTCGCCGATTGGCCGAAATTGGCGGTTGCGTACTCGTCATAAGCCCTTCGTTAACAGGGGAATGGTCGGGAAGTGAACACATTGGGCTCTATGGAGGCTCGTCGTGACGCGACGAGTCATTAACAGGGGTTCTACGGCAGTATGATGTTATCTTCTACCCTATGACCAAAATGTGGTGAGCCGAGTTGTAGTGAGCCATGGTAAGCTCAGACGTAGTGAGCAGTGGTGAGGTGTGAGATGTGGGTGAGGTGCGAGACATGGTGAGCTGCGGCGAGCAGTAGAGACCTGAGACATGGGTGAGGTAAGTTGTGCTGAGCAGTGGTGACCTGAGGCGTGGGTGAGGTATGAGATGTAGTGAGCTGTGAGACTCGATGAGCCTCGTTGAGCTGTGGTCCTCTGCTCACCTCCACGTATCGGCGGAAGATGTCAACGCCGGCGCGCATGTCTATGGCTCCATACACCAGCAGCTTGCAGTAAGCGGCGAGCAGACACCTCCGCTTGTGAAGCACCTCGATATTCTGCATGTCCTCTTGCTGATCAAAAATGTCTGAGAGGACACAAGGTTCACGTAGTCACACGCGAACGAGAACGTACAGACACGAACCGGCAGTGGCGGCGACAACAGTAACGGCCACGCGTTGATTTTCAAGCGTCGACTTTGGTCAGGCTGTATTGTTGGACAGTTCTTCTCTCTAGCTTTCACCACATACTACTGCGGGCATCTCCAGGAGTATAATTGCTGAAGATGTCAGAAGTAGTGAAAACAAGTACTGCTCTAAAGTTGCCACCCGTCCTGGTTTTCCGAGGATTACCCCTCTTTTTAAATCCTTTATATTAAGTTCGCTTGCTTGCTTGCGTGCTTGCTTGCTTACGACTGTGCAAACCTTTCGGTCGTTTTTTAACCCACTTCCCGTGATCCAATCGAGCTGACATTTTGCACACAGACTCGTTGTGCGAGACAATGAATGTTCGTGAAAATTTTTTTTCCAAAATTTTACACTGTTTAGGGAAAACAAATTAAATATTTAATTACCAATTGTTTAATACTGCAGACAATCTTCTGACCCATAGGTGGCAGCCATCTCAAGCCAGAGGACGAGAGGACTCTAGCCGCCACGCATATAAAGGATTTAGAGTGAAAAACTTTGTTTTTACGGGTTATACTTATTAAGGTATGCCGTGCTGGGAAATATAAGTCGCGGTTTTTGTTATTTGCTAAAAATACACCGCTCAAGAAAATGCATTTAAAGCAGTTCTCCCCTCTTTCGATATTGTGAAATATTCTTCTTACAATGCGTTCCAGTTTTAGTACCTCAAAAGTGGTAACTCTATATTCTGCCCATCAGAGACCGATGGTCAGAGCTAATGCATTAACACTTTTAAACGCGAGTTGAAAAGCGTTAAAGAGAGACAAATGTGAGCACAAGGAGTTAATCCCCACTCTCGTCGGTGGAGAAGATGTGCTCGATGATGAAGCTGCCCATCTCGGCCTGCAGCTCAGGCTCGGCCTGGACCACGAGGGGGAGCAGAGCGTGGCGGCCCTGCTCCGCCACCGAGTGGCCAAACACGAGCAGTGTGTCACACAGCAGCAGGAACACCTGGACACACGAGGGACACGAGAAAGACACGAAAATGTGTGACACACAAGCAATGTGTCGCGCAACAGATGGAATACCCTTCCCTCACTCTATTCATCTCCCTCCCAACTTCCTGAGTCAGCGAGTGATTGAGTGAGCGAATGAGAGAATGAGCAGTGAGAGAGTGAGTCGGGGAATAGACAGTTCAGCGAGTTGACAAACGAGCAATGAACCAAGTGAGTAAGTGAGCGGGTGAGTGAGTGAGCAGACAAGCGAGTAACTGAGTGAGCGAGGGAACAAGTCGGCAAGGAAACGTGGGTGCAAGTCACCTGCTCTTTCAAAGCCAGACCGACTCCGATGAGCAACTTGTTGCACAACTGCAAAAACGACCTCAGGCTCCTGCGCAGGGAGACAACCTCCTTCTGGAATTGAGAAGTGAAAGCCACGTGGGGGTGGGACGATCATTAGGTGATGACGGCTTGAGCGGTAGTACGATTATCCGCTCGTTGCAAAGGCTCATGGTTTAAGCCCAGTGGCCACCCTGGTTAACAATGCATGTATTTATGGGTTTGTGTAATGTAGAGCCTACGTTGACAGCCTTGCGATTTAAGAATGGTGCAAATATCAAATATACGAATAATTTGGTTATGGGGGAGGGGTGGCATGGACAAAACAAAAAGTGTTTCACGTACCTTATCTGGTTGGTCTTCTGAAAGAGCGGACAGCCTCCAGAACAGGCTGTAATGCACGCACTTAGTGGCGTACATTAAAATCTGTGGCCAAACATTCAAAAACAGAATATATATTTGTTTATATGTTATGCTATGACGAACGTGCCAAGTATTGTGTTAACAAAGGTGTGTCTAAATTTCGATTTAAAGCTTTCGTGACTGCAGGGATTCATCTTCTTGGTTCTTTCGGTAAAGTCACGTAGAAGGGAAGTAATAAAATAATAAAAATAAAACATAATAAAATAATTCTCACCATGAACATTTTAAACAGGAGTTATTTTTATTATTTTATTACTTCCCTTCTATGTGACTTTACCGAAAGAACCAAGAAAAAAAAGGTGTGTCTGCTAACTTTGATTACGACGGTAAAATCTTGGCTAGCCGGACTCGTATTCAAATACGGTAGACTTTCGATTATCCACGCTAATGACGGGGAGAACCGCCGCAGGTAATTAAAATTCGCGGATATAATCCAAAAATAATCAAACTCCAACCACTGTTGTAACGATATGTAACGACTGTACTGTAGAGGCAATTGCGTGGATTTCGGATTCACCGGAGCACATATTTGTTCGGTTGAAGCACGTGACTTGTAATGAACATTGGCAAGAAAAATAATGTATAACTGTTTCTAGATTATTAATTCGGGCCTAAGGGGAAATTCTTGAGTTAAAATGCACGTAAAAATCTCAGATGTACGGTTAATCCGTAAATCGGATAACCCGCAAGCGGACAATCAAGAGCCTACTGTATGTTTTTGTTAGTATACGGGAGGAAGACCCATTGACTCAGCAAGTTCTTTTTCAACAGGATGGGAGGGCCGTTCTGAATAGCTGAAAAGGCTGACTAGCTGGCAATACAATGAAACCTATGTCAAAGAACAACGACAACCCTGGGGTGTATTCGCTTAGTAAATATATCAGTGTATATCAGCATCTGCAGAGTGTACGCAACTTACTCTACCGTAAAAAATACTCAAATACTGCATCAATTCCATGCTATGTTCCATGCAGTATTTAATGGTAATTCACAAGAGATGTTATTGGTTCGATCGCGTAAATATTAATGTGTCGTTAAACCCGCCGCCACCCGACAACGGCCAATTAGTAAGGGTTGTCATGTAAACAAAAACAAAACATGACAATTCAGCACAGCGGTGTGTTGGAGACTAAACCAACAACATTTACAATTTGAGTACAACTTTTCGGCCAATCGGATGCAAAGACCAGAGGGGGGAGGGTTAATGTATTTAATATAAATTGCAATTGATGTCCATTTCCGGTTGTTTCATAGTAAATCAACATAAACAATGTGCATGCATAACCCGGTAGTTGGAAGTTAAGTCCGTCAGTCCAAGGGTACATCGGTCACTCCCATCCCCCACCATTCCCCCCAGATCCTTCATTAGCCCTGCCCAATGACCCCTCTCTCCTCCATCGCCCACCACACCTCCCCCACCACACTTCAACGTGTAATAAAGCATTTTTTACTACGCATTATATATCACATAGCATATATAAATGATGGCATTTCATAAGGTTTTTCAATTATTATTTTACCGACCTGGTCCAATTAAGTCCGACATCTGGCCAGCAAGGATTTTACTGGACATCACATACCATATTATCAAGGATAGAGTATGTAAATAATGTTTATACTTCGTGTTCTTCATATAATTTTTTATTGGCAGACCCAGTTTGGGCTAAGTGCTGATTCCAGGTAGCTTGGGTCTGGAGAGCCAGTGGGTGGGTGATGTGGTGATATAAGGATCTGGTTAGCTTGAGGGAGTTCCAACATAGAAACTGCTTCATCACAGCACGACAACTATCTATGTCACCACACGCGGTATATTGTGGGAGCTCGCGCATCAGCTAAGTCACCGCAACACACGGTGCATTGGCGCTGTGGTGGCGAGATGTTAACTACCTCACCTGGTATGCAAGAAGGTCGTGGGTTCAATCCCAACCCTGACGCCTGTATATTTGGAGTTTGCATGTTCTCTCCATGATTGCATGGATATTTATTATCCGGGTCCCACAGTTTTTCCCTCCACATTTAGAATCAAAATGCATTTAGAGTATTTGGCTACTATACATTTCCACACGATAAGCCACTTCTCGTTGGGCTGTCAGTGGGCCTTGCCTGGTAAAATTTTAAATAGTTGAGTTTAGATTGTGGGAGAGAGAAGACGTCACCTGATCAGGGACATCCCCTCCCTTGTCCGCATGCTTGATGAGAGTCAGACAGCCCTCGTGTACGTCCAGTCTGGTCAGGTCGTGACCGCTGAGCAGAAGGCATGCACACACAAGTATAAGACAAAGATCCCCCCATTGTTACACACACACACCCCCAGAAGACAGAATATGCTCTGTGTAGCCTTTTTACAGATTGTTGGGGCAAGTGCTATTGCAAACACCTACGAAGACTGGCACGGCATATGAAGGGTTGGTGTGTCCAGCACTACGCCTGGATGGTTCGTCTCCCAGTGCCGACGTTCATACACTGTGCCGGCTACAAATTTTTTTGAACGGTGATTAGACCGGAGAAGAGGCCCAGGCCTGGTTCAGTTTTTACTTGCCATTGCGGTTAGCCACGGCCAAGAATTCAACTTGGGTGGTTGGGTTCGTAGCGCAGTGTGCACGACGACCAGCACAGCTCTATCCGAAAACGTCAAATTGATTTCTCGTCTCATTACATGACGCAAACAGCACAACCGGGAGAAAACATTGGGGAAAGGTCGTTTTTGTTATTAATTATTCAATACACGGCTGGTGGTCGGAAAGTCAAATTAAGTGCTCACTTGTAGAATGAGGTCAGTCTCTTCAGCACAGACAGCAAGTCGTAGGAGACGCTGCCATCCGCGTCATAATCCTGGAAAATGCACGACAGCAAATTAAAACAAAATTTACTTGTATACCCAGCAAATCCTCACCGAGTCTCAAGACTGATTCTAGGACGGCCCTGCTAGGTTATTGCAGTAATGTGTCCATGTGTAATCCCAATTGGGTAATTTGGAGGCAATTATTAATTTATTGAGATGTTTGTCTAGGGTCGTTAACCCTTGCCTGCTTAAGTAAAAACTCAACCAGGCAAGGGCCCATGGAGATTTTCATTGTTTTGCTCACTAATGGTGGTAAATGCACACCTGCTAATGGGAACACAACAAAGATCCTCTGTATAGCCTTTTCAAGCAGTTAGGGCAAGTACTGTACACATGTATATTGAACTTCTTTCGCACTATATGTAGCCAACTATGCCAATCGTAGAGGTGCGACTGTTCTGTTAAGCGAGCAGCTATTTAGACCGACAGCGCTTGAGGGGGTGGTGCGGATAGCACCACATCCCTGGCCTCCTTTGTCTCGCCAGTGCCAATGTTTACGCACGGCACCAGCTACTCATGAGGCTCGGACGATCTAGGAGATTGGCCCAGGACCGGTGCAGATACACAGGGTTGGTGTACGGTGATTTTTTCTGCAATATTTTGCTGTCTTTTCTTGGATTTTCTGTTTGCACATAGTCACTATAAGATGTTTTCTTGTTCATGTTTTTTGTTTGTTGCGGTTGCACCCGCTTCAAGAGCCGAATGGCTCACAGGGCTATACCTAATAAATGAACTTTGAGATATTCGTAAGTAATCCTGGTAATTAGCGGGACGCAGGGTTTGTACACGAACCACTGCGCTATCGAAGACGTGCACAAATATCCACTACTAAACACACACACGTGCATGCAACCCCACCTGCTCCATGAATGCGGGCAGGGCGTGAGCAAAGCGGTCAACGAGGAGGTCCACGAGGCTCGACACGGACACGAGGGCTCGCGAGTGCACGGAGGAGTCGGGGGCGGCCAGTGCGACCAGTGCGCGCGAGCACCCATCCAGCACGTCCGGCAAGACGTGCTTCTGCACCACCTCGCCCACCTGGCGCACCAGCGTGTCCAGGTGCTGTGCACAAACACAGATTCCCCCCCCATGTATAGCCTTTAACAGATGTGGAGCAAGTGCTATTAGCGAACACCGATCAATGCCGGCAGGGCACACGAGAGGGTGGGTGGCCAGCATCATGCCTGGCCTGGCAGCCTGTCTCCCGAGTGGCGATGTTTACACATTGCACCAGATACTCATTTTAGGCTGAGTCGACCTTGGAGAGATTGCTTCAAATAACCTTCACTGGTGTTGGCCGTGAGCAGGAACTGACCTTGGGTTGCTAGGTTCAAAAGGCAGTGCGCTAACTGCTACACTACCGCTCCCCAATACACACACACAAATAAAAAGATCCCCCCTATATAGCCTTATTAGAAGACTGTTGGGGCAAGTGCTGTTCGCGAGCACCTATGAAGGCTCGCACGGTACGAGGGGGTGGGTTGCCAGCACTATGCCTGACTGCCTTTGGCTCCCCAGTGGTGATGTTTACACACTGCACCACAGGTACTCATTTGAGGCCGAGTCGACCTAGAGGAGGCCGAGGTCCTGTTCAGATATTCGTCACTGGTGTTGGCCCTAAGCGGGAATCAAACTCGGGTTGCCAGGTTCGTAGCAGAGCGCTCTAACCACTGTGCCACCACTCCCCACGCACACAGGTGCACACACAAACACGCACACACTCCCAGGTATGCACAAACACATGGCTATAGACAGAGATAAACTGTGCATGGTCTTTTAAAAGAGACACGAGTCGAAGAGCAAGAAGCTCTTACTTTGCAGATGACTTTTATATAGATGCAGTGACTGTGATTGTCACTGTGTGGCAGAGGTGTGGACTCGAGTCATGTGACTTGGACTCGAGTCAGACTCGAGTCATGAATTTGATGACTTCAGACTCGACTTGGACTTGCATAACAATGACTTTGTCCCACCTCTGAGGTGTGGACTCGAGTCATGTGACTTGGACTCGAGTCAGACTCGAGTCATGAATTTGATGACTTCAGACTCGACTTGGACTTGCATAACAATGACTTTGTCCCACCTCTGCTGTGTGGTGCCGGGCTTACGAAGCCACGGCGGATGTGTTGGCATTATGTGTAGCGGGCTTACTGGGCGTAGTACCAGCCCTAGCGAGGCTTGGGTGAGCGCTGGTCAGCACGGAGGCACCACGTACAGTGTGCGGTGCGGGCTCCCGGTGAGGGAGCGAGAGGGAGTGTCAGCCAGTCAGGGTTACGCTGGGGCGTGATACGCTGGTTGACCTGCCGACACGCGACCGGATGATATTGGAGGGGGGCCACCGGTGGACGGGAGCCGCTGGGCGGTCACGTGGTATAAAGGAGCTCTCGGGAGCCTTCAGGAAAGAGCTCGAGAGATCTAGAAGGTGGGCGGGGCGAGGGGCGGAGCCAGCCCCAGCCCACGCCGATATAATGGGGGCCCCCGTGAGAAGCTCAGGGTTCTTTGTGTTGCTGGTGATGAAGATCCACGTCGGGTAAAAGAAGCCTCTAGCCACGCGGTCCGGGAGCCAGCTCGTGGTCCAGGATAGCGAACCGTGTCTAGTTCTGCCGTAGCGTGGCTAGATGAGCATTCAACACCCCAAGTGTAGGCTGTGTTATGTTGAGTTACTGAATAAATAGTGTTGCTCGCAAGACAACGTCTGTGACTCAGTTGAACTCGCTACATATATTACCACGTAGTAGCCCATTGACACCAGGAGCATCCTGCACAGGGAGAGAATATGGGGGTAAAAGACAAACAGCCTCACAGGTACCTTTTCCAGTCTCCCATTGGTGTACACCTCAAGGTCGAAGTACATCGGCACTTGGAGCAAATTCACCACATTCTCTTCATCCACCGAATACTTACAGAGAGAACAGACACACACACACATGAACAATCAGGCGCAAGCATATACACTAATGCACGTATGCACGCGCATACATACGCATGTGCACGCGCACGCGTACAAACGTGTACAGCAAAGCACAACACTATATAAATGCAAACTATAATTAGTTATGGGAATGTGATATCTTGGTTATTATGGTTTACGCAGGAAAGCCTCCATGTCTCTGTTTCAGGAGGGTCTTGCAATATTGTTTCAGTAGAGGGCTACGGTGGCTACGGAAATATTCATGACGCCGACGCGCAATGGTCTACTCTTGCGAATGGCGCCAAGGAATCTTTCACACCTACTCTGAAGCAGACCGCGTATATTTTCTTTTTGTAAAAACACTCCCCGCAATACCAACCGGAGCGGTCGCTGGATTCAAAACCGTGAGCCTCTGCAACCGGCGGCGAACGCGCCGCTATGCCAATGCCCAATAGCCATGGAGTGGAAAATGACCTCGTGTAATCCTAGTGACGGTGTGCAGGTGGTGGCGTCTGCTCCCGGGGCCCACCTTGGCAAGAAGCTGTGGTATGGCGATGATGAAATGCTGCGTGAGCCGCATCTGTTCATCTTGTTTGTTCTTTTTCTCTTTGGCCGACTGAGTCTGGGGAGGAAGAGACCACAGATGCTCTTCAGGCACAGGTGATGGTGGTGCACTCAAAGACCACAGGATGATGATTTGTCAGGAAGAATCGATTTTTTTACACACTTTTATTTAACTCACTCTGTCTGTTGTTGTTGTCGTATCCTCAAATCGAGAAAATGTAACAAAATCATTATCAGGTCATATGTTCAAACCATGCCAATCTACTGCTGGCCGGCGCGAGTACACGGCAGCATGAATACTCTTAGGTTTTTTCGGTAAAGTGACGTAGGTAAAAAATTTAAATTAATAAAAGTAAAATAAAACAAATTAAAAAATTCACGACGTTTCGGAAGCAACACAAGCCTCCGTCTTCAGCTGTATTTACTTGATACAGCTGTCGTGGCTGTGCCGGTTCCACCTGAAGACGGAGGCTTGTGTTGCTTCCGAAACGTCGTGAATTTTTTTGTTTTATTTTACTTTTATTAATTAAATTTTTTTTACCTACGTGACTTTACCGAAAAAACCTAAGAGTATGAATCCTTGCAGTCACGAAAGCTTCAAATCTAGAGGCAGCATGAATGGTGGAGGAGGCGCATACCTTGCGACTGGAGAGGCGGCCAATGGGCGGGAGGCCCTCGGCAGCCTGCTTCACGCAGCAAACCATGATGTCGATGAGGCCCGCCTCCTCTTTGTCCGAGAGGCCTGTTCGTTGGGGGGGGGTAAATGAGAAACGATGCAAACAGACGAAGATCCCCCAACTGCTCTTTTCTTCCGTGACCCAAGATAAATTGCTGAATATTACAGACGTCCAGTGGAAGCTGACGACTATGTACAAGAAACTGCCGCGTCGATAAAATGTTACGCCAAGCGGTAAAAACATAAAATCAATAACGAAAACGTATAGGTGTACTTACATTCAATTCAAATGCAGCCCTGATCACCATCGTGGGCATTCCTATTTAAGAATTAATTTTATTTGTCTCGTTTGTATTGTTTCTCATCTTACTATCTTATGTGTGTGCCTTTCCCTTCTAGCGACGTATCCCACCCAATTCTAGATTTGAAGCAACTTGATACAGCTATCGTGCTGTGACGGTTCCACCTGAAGACGGAAGATTGTGTTGCCTCCAAAACGTCATGATTTTTATTTTATTTTTATATTACTTTTATTAATTTTAATTTTTTACCTACGTGACTTTACCGAAAAAACCTAAGAATATGTCTCCCACCCAAACCCACCAACTTCATCCTAAGTCTCCCACATATCCTCCAATCCATGCGTTCCTCTGTCCCCTCTCGGCGTAAACCTCAAGCGTGCGCCCTTCTGTGTACTCTGCGTCGCTGGGCATCATTACAGCACTCCCCGGGGGGGGCGGGGAGCAACGATTACTCCCACTCCCGGGGCCACTAACCCTCGTTGGGGCTGTTGGCTTTGTGCGTGGGCAGCAGGAGGCTCGTCATGGCCTCCCAGTCATGCAGCTCCTCCCGTGCGTGCTCCCACAGGCTGTCCACCACGTAGGCCGCGTGTTGGTGCATCTGGAAGCAACACAAAGGTCCCCCCCGCGTAGCCTTGAACAGACCGCTGGGGCGAGGTGTTGTTAGCGAGCACTGATACAGGCCGGCACGGCACCCAACAGGCCGCATTTGTCTCCCAAGAGCTGATATCACTTATTTAAAGCTGAGTTGACCAAGGAGTGGAATCCATACCAAATTCTTGCAGACTAATGTAACTCCTTATGCAACTTTCGTTATTATATTAATTTGCATATTATGAATGACAGGGGTGGCACAGTGGTAACACTTATGCCCCACTGCAAGCAGGCCCTGGGTTCGATTCCCGACTCAGGCCCCCCCTTTCTGTGTGGGGTTTTGTAAGTTCTCCTTTTTTAATGGGTTTCCAACAGGTTCTCCAGTTTCCTTGCATGGCTAAACACACAATGTAACTGGTCCAAACATCATTGCAACCTCATTTGCCAGTAAAAAATATGACAATTGTTTTTTTTACCCTTCTATCTGGCAACAAAACTGACACCTTTTTTTACAAGGAGTCATGTTTGCATTGACCACAATACCTGCAGTCGGAATGCAAACAAAAACACAACTCTGATAATGTATGCACTGTCCTGTAAAAAAAAGGTGTCAGTTGTGTTGCCAGATAAAAGGGTAAAAAAAATTATCATAGTTTGCTACTGGCAAAGGAGGTTGCAATGGGACAAAAAGCATTTCTAAAGTTTTCAGTCTAGATTTTAAATTGCATAGCTCCAGTGGCTTGCTAATATGGGAAGGAAGAACGTTCCAGCCGGCCTTTTATTTTTTATTTTTTACAAGGAGTCATGTTTACATAGACCACAATACCTGCAGTCATAATGCAAACAAAAAACATAACTCTGATAATGTGCACTGTCCTTGAAGTTGATTGGTCTACACCCGAGACAACTTTCCTTAGAGCCTAGTCTCACATGGGTTGGACCAGATGATGCCAAACATCCCAATGCTGCAATATTACCTGCAAATTACTCCATTGGGATAAACCCATGGCAACATTGCAATTGTTGCTACCAAATACACAAAAAACTTGGCAGGACCCCCCCCCCCCCCATAAAAGTCTTGAGAAACAACGACGTTTTCCTGGGTAAACAAGCAAAACAATTTAAAATATTTTGGCACAAATGACAAATTCATTGCTCGAACCATCAGAGAACCCAGCTGTGCCGTGTCATCCTCTAAGCGAACTCACTTCACTCTCAAGCAAGAAGGTAACGAGCATACGCAGAAGAGCCGTGTTCTTCTCCGTCTTCCTCCGGCTGTGGGAGCCCATGTCCTCATCATCGTCATAGCTGTTGCTGATGTGAGACTGCAACCTGCAATGCAAGCAAGTGCCATGAACACAAATAACAGCCAAACTACATTTATTTAACCAGGTAAGGCAAACTGAGCTTATCTCTTTTTTAGAAGCGACCCCGGCTATCACAAATTATACCTTAACGAAGTGGATTACATCATGTGGAAATTTATAGCAGCCAAATACTCTAAACGCATGTTTCTAGATGTGGAGGGAAAAAACGGAAGACCCAGAGAAGAATCCAAGTGACCTGGTGACATGATGCTCAACAAAGTGGATATTCATGTGGAACTGTATAGCAGCCAAATACTCTAAACGAATGTTTCTGAATGTAGAGAATAAAACTGGAGCACCTGGAGAAAAATCCACGCTACCAGGAGAACATGCAAACTCCAAATATACAGCAGGCGTCAGGGTCGAGATCGAACCCACGACCTCCTGTATACCAGGCGAGGTAGATAACATTTTGCCACTGTAGTGCCCCACTTTCCCATTCACTCACCTCCTTACTCGCTCACCTGCTTCCACACTGAACCTCTCACTCGTTCGCCCACTCACTAACTCAATCTCAGTCTGTTTGTCCACCAACTCACTCGCCGACTCACTTCTTGTAGAGGAATTCGCCGGCAGCTGTGGCCAGTTGCCGGTGCAAGGAGAACACCATGCTGTAGACATTCTTACAGTCCTCCACTGACAGCGATTCTTCATTGTTCCTGCAAACGCCAGCACACACTCCACTATAAACAAGAGCAACTGCTGTTGTTATCAGGCCGCTTGAGTTCACGTGGTGCGGCAGGCGGGCGGATGAGGGATCGGTGGAGCAGAGGACAACGTGCGTTGGATGCTCGTCCACTCACTCGAGAATGCTGACAAGGACTTGTGTGGCCTTGACAGCCACATCCAACTCCTTGTCATTCACCATTGAAACAATCCGCTCCTGGAACGATAGCAGCATCACCACCAGTCAGCATCATCACCACTGTTTTCATTGTAATTGTCATGAACATCGTCATCATCATCATCACCAATAGCATCAACATTAACACAACAATTATCATTAAACCATTACAGGGATTAAGATTAGTCACATGCTCAAAATCATCATTACCATGACAAACTTATCAACAATAGTCTTCACTTTCACCACCAATATCGTCAACACCAACACTACTCTTGTTATAAACATCAGCACTGCCGTCATTATCATCAACACCAAAATTATCACGGCAGTTTAAAAAAAAACATCACCCCCACCATTACTGTTAGCGATTTGCATTACCGACATCATCAACATCACCAATAATCGTCACTACTGTCATACTGACTTCAGAAAAACAGGTGGCCATAGGCAGAACCACATTTGCTAGGAGGAATATTGGCCGATTGTCGATTGAGCCATGGAGCGGCAGCAAAAGTAACACGTCCAAGAGTGCACCCACTGCGGAGGAGCGACGAAATCCGCTCGTGCGGAAGAGCTAGACAGATCATTGCTTCGCGAGACTGTGACGAACGGCAATAGCTTGAGGATAGATCATCGCTGGTGATTATGAAATAATAATATGCAACCAAGTGGCACTGTTGCAAAACACTTACAACTGGAGAAGTTGGAAATTCAAACCCAAGATTGGAGCATCAACTTAGCCCACGCGCAACACGTACAATTTTGCAGGCAACATTTATGGATCGCGATTCACGAGACGATGTGCAACCGCGCACCTTGAAGCGTTTTGTGAAGAGTTCCAGCTTCAGGAAGAATTCCTTCTCCGCGTAGAGGCCCTGGAGAGCGGAGAGGCATCGCAACCTCACCTCCCCTTGCTGTGGACAGTGACGATAATGTACAACAGCAGCAGCAGAAAAGGACCACACACAACATTATGATCGTTACACTTACACCATTGGAACCTCATTTGCCAGTAAAAAATATAATTGGTTTTTAACCCTTCTATCTGGCAACAAAACTGACACCTTTTTTTTTACAAGGAGTCATGTTTGCATAGACCACAATACCTGCGGTCGTAATGCAAACAAAAAACATAACTCTGATAATGTGCACTGTCCTTGAAGTTTATTGGTCCACACCCGAGACAGCTTTCCTTAGAGCCTAGTCTCACATGGGTTGGACCAGATGACGCCAAAAGGCGCCTTTTGCACATTATCAGAGTTATGTTATTTGTTTGCATTATAACTGCAGGTATTGTGGTCTATGCAAACATGACTCCTTGTAAAAAAAGGTGTCAGTTTTGTTGCCAGATAGAAGGGTAAAAAAACAATTATCCGATTGTTAAACTTGTTTGCATAGGAAAGTCTCAAGTTGTTTGCAGTAGGAAGCAATATTAATGTGTCATCCCAATGGAGTAATTTGCAGGTAATGTTTCAGCATTGGGATGTTTGCCCAATACCAGTAACACTGTATATTTATTTAGCTTTTGGAGGAAGCTGGAGGACGCAGAGGAAACTCATGCAGAACAGGGGGAGGAACATACAAACTCCACACAGAAAGGCAGCCAAGTCGGGAATGGAATCCAGGCCCTTCTTGCTGTCAGGCACAAGTGTAACCACTGCGCCACCACCGTGAAGCCCAACACCACCGTCAACAACATCAGCACGATTTTCAAAGCCAATGCCAATGATGCCACCACCACCAACAGCTGCTCCAGAATTGTATCTATTGCCAAAGCAAGAATGGGGATTACATGGACGATTTCCCAAGCTGTCAAAGAATCCAACTTATTTTCATGGAGACAGAATCCTTCATTCATATGAACAGGATTCAGTGGCAATGAAAATAATAAGCAAATAACCTGGAATGCACCCAATTGTGCCAGATGTCAAAAGATAAGCAGGTCTGAGCTTGGATAGGACAATGACGCACAACCATTGGCCATAAAAGGTGTTATCGGCTGCGAGGCAGCAGATGCTAGTGGAAAAATCTATAATTGGACAGTATTTTTATGCTCCGATGTCCTGATCCCCACCTTCACCAATCTGCATTGACCAGCAAGGTAAAGTATGGTAAAATAACCCATATGACCCGCATGGTAATCCAAAAGTGGATTGACAAAAAAAGGCTGTACAGGTACATGTAGAAACCTTGATTGGACCGAATGTGATCATTGTCCATTCCAATCGAACGCCACGAGAGGGCGCGCCAATGCCGACTGAACACCCATTCAAACCGATGAAGACTTTCACGTGGGAATTGACTTTAGAAACAATTGAAAGAATCCTGCAGCAAACACCTACGGTAAGATAATAGGATTCGAAGAGAATGGGATTCGAATTCAACTGCAATAAGAATTGTCCAGGACTAATTCACGATTCTATTCAACTCTTCACGTATTATTGTTCTGTATGGCAGGGTGATCGTCAACCTTCTATGTTGATGCCGAGGTTGTTGAGCCATTTGAGGGCTACAAGAGTGATGATAATTGGTTCTTTACCCTTCTATCTGGCAACAAAACTGACACCTTTTTGCAAGGAGTCATGTTTGCATAGACCACAATACCTGCAGTCATAAATACAAACAAAAGACATAACTCTGATAATGTGCACTGTCCTTGAAGTTGATTGGTCCACACCCGAGACAGCTTTCCTTCGAGCCTAGTCTCATATGGGTTGGACCAGATGACGCCAAAGGCGCCTTTTGGCGTCATCTGGTCCAACCCATATGAGACTAGGCTCGAAGGAAAGCTGTCTCGGGTGTGGACCAATCAACTTCAAGGACAGTGCACATTATCAGAGTTATGTCTTTTGTTTGTATTTATGACTGCAGGTATTGTGGTCTATGCAAACATGACTCCTTGCAAAAAGGTGTCAGTTTTGTTGCCAGATAGAAGGGTAAAGAACCAATTATCATATTTTTACTGGCAAATGAGGTCCCCATAGTGAAGAGTGATGATGTAAAGGTCTGAGACGTTCCCAGCCAACCCTTCAGTGACATTAGCCATCGTTAGGAATTGAACCCAGATAACGGTGTTCATATCGCAGAGCGCAAACTGATGTTAGCCATGGTCAAAAATCTTCACTGCATTTTGCCGTGATTCGGAATCGCCACTGATGTCAGCTGTGGTCATAGCGCAGGGTACAAACGACTGAACCAATGCTTCACCAGTACAGCACACACTTTTGTGACGTGCAGTTTTCGTTATTCAGTGCCACGGGAAACCAGACAAGTGGGAAGGCAGCCAGAACCGGCACTAACAATGTCCCAAGTTCTCTGTTTGACCAACTCCACTAAGCAGTGTTAATTAATGTAGGAGGAAACCAAAGTATTTTTTTTATTATCATCGAATAAATATTAACATGCATTTTTAAAACGGATACATTCTCACACGCATTATTCAATGCATGTACCACGAGCGTGAAAATACATTTCAATCATTGAATCGCGACGCCTCCACCGCTTACCTTGTCGTTGAGAGTCCAGCCAATGTACTTGAGGTAGCCATCATCGAGGAAAACGTCACTGTAGGCCTTCATCCACACTCCAATCTCCTCCATGCACAGGGCTCGGATCTCTGGGAACGAATCCCTGCACACACGCGCACACACACACACATCATCCCTCCAGCCCTTGCACTGTTGGGGTAAGTGCTGCGAGCGAGCACCTATTAAGGGACAACACATCAGAGGAGAGTGGTGGTGTTGTGGCCAGCACCACACCAGGTCGCCTTTGTCTCACCAGTGCTGATGTTTACACACCAAGCTACTTAAGCACCAATAAACCTAGGGGAAGGCCCAGGACTGGTTCCAATATCACTCACCAAAGATGTTAGCCTTGGCCTAGAATCGAACCCGGGTCGTCATGCTTGCAGCAGTGTGCCAACTACCTGCCATGCACGCATGCACGCTCTTGCACCAATACATCGTCACCTCACCGCTACCCATAGCATAAGAGCACAGCGTTAGGTAAAAAAAACACTCACCGGTAGCGATGTACAAAGACAGACTTGAAAATAGAACGCATCATATTCTCCACATCCTCCTGATGTTCATTCAACTGCAAACGTGAGTGACATAAAAAGTGGAGTTTATTACCATCAAAATCATTATCATCATTCACAGAAATTCAGCATCAACATAATAAATATTATAACCTTACATTCATCACTAACATCACAATTATATTTTCATCCTCGTGAACACCAAAAGTGCCATCAGAGCTCCTGATGTATGTCAATCAGGATACAATGTGGTATACTCAATATAATTACCATCGCTTAATCATCAATGTATCATCACTATGCCGATAATGTAATATAGCTTCATTGAGCATCATTATAGAAGAAAGTTTTCAACCACTGCATGTTACATGTTGATATATGGATCAGAAACATGGGACAGTGAGAAAGTGGAACAAAGGTTAAATAAGAGCATCAAAGCAGCATGGGATGAGGTGCACGCTTGAATTGTTGCAAGAGACGGAAAGATGAACACACAGGATGAGAGAATGTACACATCGTATTGACTGTTACGAATATAGCAGGCTTGGGCAGGGCACATCGCTCGAAGAAGACGACATTGGCTGCAACATCGGAATTTGCAGCCAATGGAAGCACTCCACTGCTTAGACCAGGGGTCGCCAAGCAAAATACCAAGAAGTGCCATTTTTTAGAACTGCGTAAATTTTTTTCATAAAGTTCAAGAGCCACAACGCATGTGAAAAGCCTCATGAAGCAGTCGTTAAAGAGCCGCATGCGGCTCCGGAGCCAGAGGTTGCCGACCCCTGGCTTAGACGAAGCAATGACAAGATATTGCTGCATTGCGTGACCGCGAGGGATGGCGACGGCTTTGCGGGCCTTCAGCAAGCAGCAGACAGATCAAGGCACATGGGTGTCTTCCCCACCTGCTTGATGGTGTTGAGCAGCCCCTCGATCTTGTCCACGGCCCTGAGCCTGGGCTCCTTGCTGCGCTCAGCCTGCAGCTGTCGCGAGGCATTCTCCAAGCTCTCAGCTAGAGACAAGGACACCTCCACAAGCCCCGTCTGCAGCTTCAGGGCTGAGCACACACGCGGGAAATCGCAAACACGTGGCGGGGATTCGCAACGAGAAATCAGAAGAACCCAACCACGAGGGATCACAAACACAAGGGTTCATGAATGGTAGGAGTGTACTGATCTTCCCCTGGCAACCGGTCAGTGCTGCAATTTGATTAAAGACTCAATATATATGTACGTTAGTTTTGTTTGCTTTTGTCTTCCTGCGTTTCTGTGCCGTGTGTCCGAATGGCTATGTCTCCGTGCTTTCCTGCATCTCTATTTGTCTGTGTGTATGTCGATGCGAAGTTATCTGTCAATGTCTGTGTCGCTGTCTGTATCTGTGCATCTCTCTCTCTATGCAGGGTGCCACAGTGGCGAGATGTTAACTACCTCACCTGATATAAAGGTTGTGGGTTCGATCCTGACCGTGACGCCAATATATTTGGAGTTTGCATGTTCTCCTGGTAGCGTGGATTTTTCTCCAGGTGCTCAGGTTTTATTCTCCACATTCAGAAACATTCGTCCAGAGTATTTGGCTGCTATACATTTCCACATGAATATCCACTTTGTTGAGCAATCATTTGTGACCAGGTCACTTCTGAAAAAGAGCTATATAGCTCAGTGGTCCTTACCTAGTAAAAATTATGAATAGTTTATTTGCGTCCATGTCTCAAGGCTCCCCTCTGCCCTAGAGCACTCCGTACCGGAGAAGGTGGCGGTGTGCCGGAAGGCGCGGACCTGGGAGTCGGTGAGCCCGGTGAGCAACCCAAGCAGCATCTCCTTGAGGTCATACAGTGGGCCATTGCGGCTCTGCCGCACCAGCATGAGCACAAAGTCGGCCAGCACTGCGCGGAAACGCTTCGCCTGCAGCCCGGTTTGTGAGAGTGGGTACTCCGCACTCTCCTGCGGACGTGGGGAAAACATTGTCGCAGAAGGGTCACTAATCGTGTCCAATGACACCCACACAACCCCGAGTACGAGTTGATGGGTCGGAGCAGTGGTGCAGTGGATTAAAGACTGCTTGCCAAACTCATCTGTAGAATCGTTTTTCGGTTTGCTTTCAAGCTGAGATTAACTTTTTCGTACCGTCCATGTGGATATATTTTTATTCTAATCAATGAAAGCGCCTATCCCTACCCCTTTAAACCTAATCCATGTTCCCTCATTGTAACCCTACCTCTAACCCTAAATCTTAGCCTTTATCCCTAAAATTACCCTAACCAATAAACCATAACCCAAAACCTTAGCCCCTAACCACTGGATCTAACTCCTAATCTTTAAGCCAGTGGTACAAATAAGCAGGGAGGAAGAAATGGGGAAAAAATTATCTGGGGAAACAAGTATCCTGAGTAAATGTATACATAATAATTATTCCATGAACCAAAATTCATTTGCACGAACAGACCAACCCTACCTCGTCGAATCCCTCCGTCATCTTGCGGATGATGTCCGCATACTCCATTGTGCGATACATGCCCATCGTGACGCGGCCTAGTTCACAGCAACATCGCAGGGAGCAATGATGTGCAGAGCGGGACAAGAGAGACGCAAAGCAAAGAAAAAAACTTGCAGCTGACATGAGCAAATCCCTGCAGCGGTTGTTTAATACGTCTGCGTCAACCCGTACTAATCAGTGTGACGTATAGTCAAACAACCCCCACTGCGTACGGAGACCCTCACCCAGCAGTGGATTGACAAAAAGAGCTGTGCATATTACACATTTATGTTGAACTTCTTTCGCGCCGTACATAGCCAACCGTGCTAATCGGAGGTGCAGGGAGAGAACAACAAAAAGCAGTTCAAGAAATTAGCTTTCAACAAAGATGTAAAAGTGCAGAGCTCCAGTGGCTTCCTAATATTAGAAGAGCGTGCCAGACGGCTGCAGAAGCGCATCTGAAAGCGCCCGATGCAGTGACCGTCTTTGTTCAATGATCATACAAAAGCTGCTGCGAGGATGACCGGAGTTTGCACAATGATGTATGCTCCCTGACGAGATCAGCAAGGTATTGTGGTGCATTTGTGGCAAGCACTTTGTTAAAAAAAACACACACCTTTGCAGCCAGAGCTCTGGATGAAGAAGTTGATTAGACTCAGTGTGGCTTCGTCCTGGTCTTCCTTGTAGCTGTCGACCCATGTGTCCACAACGGTCTGCAGGCATTGTTACGAGGCAACGCTTTTAGATTCTGTGATGTGTGGCACAAGTCACACACATCGCACACCCAAAGCTCCTCTAAACAAGGGAAATATAAACGCATAGCATGTGATACCTTCAGAGATGCATCACACAAGATACTAGTGTTTTGTTTGAATTGGATCTTATTTACAAGAGTTATGGTCCATAGGCTGCCATCAAAACTCAAATAGGACCCCAAGGCCAGTCCTTATGCAGATGGTTTGTTTCCATGTTTTGGGCAACGCTTTAATTTGGCTGCTTTTCAGTGGGATAAGTCCTTAATAGCAAAATCAAGTTTGGCTAATATTGAATCTTCTTTGGATGGATAGTTTCACCCAGTCACGTATGAATATCCATATGAAATAGAGAAACACTTTCAACCTGACTTGAAGGGTGCTAAAAAAACACACAGATTTACTGCACTATTGTTTGTAAGGTGGGTGATAACACAAATACAATGTGGGTTTATATAGCGTCTAGGTGTGATTTCATCTCAAGATAATGTAGAAAAACAGCAAGCATATTTTAGGGAGAGGCAGTCAGTCATAGGCAGAGGAAGGTCTTGGAAGCCTGGACTTGAACAGGGGTAGGGAGTAGACGGCACGGATGAAAGGAGTTCAAGACATTAACGGAAAATTTCACACACACACACAGCCCAATCCCTCTCACCAGCATGACGGCTTTGCCAATGCGGACAGCATCGTACAGAGAATCGGGATCCGGTGGAGTCGATGTCACCACTGCCGCTGCTCCCCCAGGCTTCGCGGCAGCAGCCGGCTGTGCTGGCTTCTTGGGGGCACGGGGACGCTTGGCCTGCTTGGGCAGGGTTGCACGAGGCTTTTTGGCCGCCTGAGCCACAGAAAAGAACAGTGACGAGTTTGACCTTATTTATTTTACCAGATAAGGCCCACTGAACTATAAAGCTCTTTTTCACAAGTGACCTGGCCACAAATTATTTGATTTTATATTTCACTGTTAATTAACCAGGTAAAAAAACCCTTGAGGTTAAAAACCTCCTTTGCGAGGGGGACCTAGATCAACAAAGTGGCTCATCATGTGGACATTTATAGCAGCCAAAGAATCTAAACGCATGTTTATAAATGTGGAGGGAAAACAGGACGACCCGGAGAAAAATCCACATGACCACGGGGAGAACATGCAGACTCCGAATATACAACAGGCGTCAGGGTTGGGATCGAACCCACGACCTCCTGTATACCAGGCGAGGTAGTGAACATCGCACCACCACAGGATCCCACTTTATTTTACACGGGGAAACGGACTTCCCCTGCCTCATTATTGTTTCGCGTAAAGTCTAACTGACAGGCATGAACGCAGACAATCAAATAATGACGACATAATACGATGACGATAATAATGAAGGTGGCGTTTCACAAAGATGTCGGCGCTCTCTCACTGGTAGGGGTCCCCCCCCACGCGCAGGACGTTTCGTTCGTTTCTTCCAGTCGCGCACGACAAACTCCTCGTCCGACAAGCCGTCATTCTCCCTGTAAATAAAGACACACGCGCGAGCGCACACACACACACCAGCGATCAACAGTTCTCTTTAAAGTGTTTTTCCCTCCAATTCTTCGATCCTGGTTGTGCTTTCGGCCTTGGCCTCATGATAAAAGATGACAAATCCATGGCAGAGCAGTGCGACCCCCCCCCCCCCCTCATGTTAGAAAACAACCCACAGAAACATTTATCAGAGAGCTACTTCTGAAAACCATTCTAATGGCCACTGGCCCTCAAAGTAGGAGCAAGCATTTTCCCGTCCACTCTGCCACAAAAGAGTAACATTTGTTGCCGAATATTCAAATTGCTTTGTAAACGCTCACAGCTGAAATTTAGTAAAATTTTCCACAGAAACAAATTTTATGCCATGGCTTTGTGCGCAAGTGGGTGGTGATGGGATTGGGCTCATCAACTCACCACACATGCAAGTTCAGTTTAACAATTGATAGCTGAAACCCAGATTCTAACACAAGATGTCAGTGCTTGCGGTTCAGCATCTCTGCCCTACGCCACCTGTTCGTTCTTCTATTGCGTCACTTGTAAGAGAAAACAGCTCTCTCCTCTCCATCTCATTCCTCCCGCACCTCACCAATCTGTTCTCTCGTCTACAGCTCTCATCCCACTTATGTATCTCTATCATCCGACTAATCCACGTCTATTTTCACATCTCGGCAAGCCATCGTGCAGGTTCACTCCGAGAACCTTCGAAAGGCCACAACTGTCGCAATCACGTGGAGCACTCACCGGGTGCTGGACGAGTTGAAAGACGTGTCATCATCATCATCATCATGATCGTCTTCTCCACTGCCGTTCTGGGACTGCCTGCCCGGTTTGCGCAGCACTGGCTTGGTGCGCTGCTGCTGCTTCTGGATGTTGGCATTGGTGATCTCACGCAGCGACACAACCGCTAGCGCGCTGGAGCGAGTGCGCACGCCCAACATTGTCGCTGCTGTGGGGAAGGGGGGGGGGGCGGCAATTCGGGCGGTGATGAGAATGGTAGAGTTTGTCGCCAATTACGATCACGTATGGAGGAAGAGCAGCATTTTTACAGCGTAACGTGAAATTGGATATCCATTTCAAACTTGTGTATTCAAATACCTCACTCTCGTTTGCAAATCGCTCCATGGTTCTGCCCCACCCTATCTTGCTTCTCTTGGTATTTGGTATACCCTTCCATGTTCCCAGACGCAACCTGCCAATCGGCTAACTGCTGTGTACCCATTACGCTGGCAGTTTATTCTGATAGTGAGCGGCTCGCAATCAAAATGTTGAGAATTCAATCCTGGATGAGGGTTGACTCAGCCCATGAGCAACCGCTGAGGTAAGAGAGATGGGGAGGGATTTGAGAATCTACCTTCACCATACTTCTTCATAATGCTGTTAGGTTTTTTCGGTAAAGTCACGTAGGTAAAAAATTTTAATTAATAAAAGTAAAATAAAACAAATTCAAAAATTCACGACGTTTCGGAAGCAACACAAGCCTCCTACACACATACACACACACGCCCCTACACACACACCCCAACCCCTACACACACACCCCAACCCCGACACAGACACACGGTTCCACCTGAAGACGGAGGCTTGTGTTGCTTCCGAAACGTCGTGAATTTTTTAATTGTTTTATTTTACTTTTATTAATTTACATTTTTTACCTACGTGACTTTACCGAAAAAACCTAAGAGTATGAATCCTTGCAGTCACGAAAGCTTCAAATCTAGAATTCTTCATAATGGTCAGTGTGGGTTGGTGGAGAAGAGCAAGGACATGGGAGCATACATGTACAATACAGCGATTGATTTTGTTGCACTACCTTTAATGCTGCCTACCATGATAACCTGGTATGCATGGTGAACACTCATCTAAGCACTATCCAGGCGGAATGCCTTGGCTTCCGAGTTATGATGCGGTTCTGAAGTTAGTTACATCGCGGCGGAGTACATGTACAGCCCTTTTTCAGTTTCAAGGACAATGCATATATTATCAGTGTGTTTTTTGTTTGCATTTCAACTGCAAGTATTGTGGTTAATGCAGACATGAATCCTTGTAAAAAGGTTTCAGTTTTGTTGCCAGAAAAAAGGGGAAAACCCCTATTATTATATTTTAGTACTGGCAAAGGAGGTCTAATAATGAAATGATTGTATTAGTGACACCGTAAACATTAGGGCACGATTACTGATTGATGCTTGGCGCATCGCAAACCTTTATTTCGGCGTCTTCCTTGAAGAGACAATGACTGTGAGAGGAGGGTGTTCTCTTTTCACCTGGTCAAAGCAGCAGCAATCACTTAATATTCAGTGCTTTCAGTTGTGCCTCTTATCATCTCAATGTGTTCACGACACCAACCAACGTTTTAAAAGACACAGATTTACATAAACATGCTATGCGCAGGGTAGGGTGGTTGTTAGTACAAATTCCATATTCACATCACTTGATACAGTAAATTTAGCTGTGACGGTCCCACCTGATGACGGAGACTTGTGTTGCCTCCGAAACGTCGTGATTTATTATTTTATTTCTATTATTATTTCCATTATTCATTTTTTACCTACGTGACCTTACCGTCGTGATTTATTATTTTATTTCAATTTTTTTTACCTAAGTATGAATCCTTGCAGTCACGAAAACTTCAAATCTAGAATTTATATGACGAGTCCACTCATATAAAAAGTTATTTATAGCAATTACAATGTTGTGGATTTGCTCTCCAAAACACCGTGTGCGCTGTACTAGTAACGAAATGGCACATTCTGTTTACGTGACCCAAAAAAAACCTCTATTATGGAGATACAATGTACATTATGCACCATTACGCCTAAATTGGTAAGGCGAATAATTGTACAAGTTTCGTTAGCGCGAATATCGTTAACAAATAGTTAAATGAAACCTACGCATATAATCAGACGCGTAAAGTTACTTAATAATGTTCGTATGTAATTGTTAAACAAGACGTTATTGGCTTTAGAGTCAAAGTAGTTGAATGCAGATTACATAAAGCTTAAATTAATATAGAATTATAAAATAAATTAGGAGGAAGCATTTACGAGCGTTCAACTCACACTTTTATACAAGTTACGGACAGGATACAATTATTTTGCTTCACTTAAGACGTTACCTCAGTTAAAAAAAGTGTGCTTTTGTATATATATACACATGTGAATATACATTACTGGGAAACTAAATATGTACAGTACTGCGCTGTACACGATTATTCCTTTACGAGGTGTATTAATGAACGATTCAGCCATTCAATTGTATCATGTGAAGTACACTAAATACATTGTAAAATAGATTTAACTCGTTCATCTACACATTTTATACGTGCAAAAATATGTAGTAAATGTTAATAATCAAGTCAACAAATAGGGGTTTGTTTATATAAACACGTACATTTATCAAGCGTAGCGGTCTCCTCAGAACTTATACATACATACGCGAAATTACAATGCGAAAGTTTTTAATCTGTACAAAATACGATAAGCAACACGGAAGAGCAATTTACCACATTTCTAGATATAATCTCGCGCGAAAAGTCTAAGCATTCAAGGGACAGTATATAACAAAACGCAACATTCATGAATACCGTTGTTTTTAAACGCTCGATAGGACGCACACACAACCGATTTTACCTCAAAAATGTCGAAAATATTCGCGATGTTGCTTATAAATTTCGACGAAAGTGAAAAAACCAAAGCCCGCTCGCTGCCCTGTGCGCGAAGTAAACACGGCGCTGAGGAGAATTTTTAGCGCGAAAAAAAATCGCGCCTTTTTCTTGGCCACATTGGCTACTGCCGACAAGCCGCGCTGATTGGTCGCCGGCGCGCACGTGCGTGGAATGACGGTCGGTGATTGGTTGGAATTCCTCGGATTGCGTGATAGGCGAACGTAACCAGACGCTGCCGGCCAATGGGATGGCGCCGCTACACGACCTAATTAATATTCATGACGAGCATGACGCGGTAAAAGAATAGGCAAATATGTCGGTTTTATCGTTTGGTATTAATGTTTTAGACATTTCAATATTTTTGTATCCTCACATTTATGTATCTTAATTAATTTAAAAGTTTTGATGTCGCGTGACGCTAATTGTGCGTGACGTCATCGGACACCTTGTCACCACTACCGCGTCTCTTGACGACGTCATCACTCCCTCTACAGTTCAATCGCGTCGCGTGACGTCATCAATCCCTCTCCTCCCACCACCCCCGAGTGTCGCCTGACGTCATCACATCTCTCCCTCACCTCCCCAGCGTCGCGTGTCGTCATCTATCTCACCAACCCCTAGGTTTCCTGACGTCACCACCCCAGTGCTCGTGACGTCACCAACCACTGGACTCACAAACTTCACCGCCAAGTTGCATGACGTCAGTACGGTGCTCGTCTGCCCAACGCCCCAACGTCTATGACGTCACCAGCGCCTCCCATAAACCTCCCACCTGATTATTCTTTGGTTCTTTCGGTAAAGTCACGTATAAAGATTAAATTAAATACTAGCATACGACGTTTCGATTGCAACACAAGCAATCATCATCAGGTATAAATTAAATAGAAACACAAATCTAGTATACTTAGAAATGTAATGTAATACAACACCTGATCTCGCGTGACGTCACCCCGGGACGTCTCAGACCTATACACGAGGTGCAGAATCAGAATATTTACTTACACTGGAGGAATCCGATGAGCTATAAAGCTCTTTTTCCACATATGTTCAGTAGGGGTTGGGGCAAGAACGTTACAACAACAAACCGTACAAAAACACGATAGGAGTGCAAAGTACAAATCACCCAAACACGTACAAATACACACACCTGTGGCCTGGGAGAATTGGTCGTTATTTTTGCAGCCGAGCCCAAACTTGCATTTCGGATTGATACAAGTTGAGAAGAGGTTTCTCCTTTTTTTCTGGCAACAAAACAGGTGCTAAGATGTTAAAACACCAAACTGAAACCTTTTACAAGAAATCATGTCTGCCTTAACCACAATAATTGTGGTCAGAATGCAAAAAAAACATACTCTGATAATATATGCATTGTCTTTGAAACTGATTGGTCCACACCAGAGACAGCTTTCTTTGACGTTGTTTTTGGGGGGCCCGTGCTCAGAAGGAGTATAAATTAACTAATAACTACGCGCTCACAGCGGGCCTTCATTGTGCACAGCAGAGGGCAGTGCGGTAAAAGCTACTGATGACCTGTGCATCACTATCTCTGCCTCCGCGGCTATGCTCAGACTCGATGTTAGACTATACTCTTAGGGTTTTTTTTTCCGGTAAAGTCACGTAGGTAAAAACAAAAAATAAAAATAATAGGAATAATAATATAAATTAAATAAGAAATAGCGACGTTTCGGAGGCAACACAAGCTTCATTTATTCTAGACTTGAAGCTTTCGTGACTGCAAGGAATCATATTCTTAGGTTTTTTCGGTAAAGTCACGTAGGTAAAACATCAAAATTAATGAAAATAAAATAAAATAATTTTGATGTTTTACCTACGTGACTTTACCGAAAAAACCTAAGAATAACAAGCTTCCTTCATCAGGTGTAAAAAAGGCACAGCAAAATAACTGTAGCGGGAGTTATTTGTGATGGGGCATTATTATACAGGGTATTATTTGTGATGGGGCATTATATTGGTAGGAACGAAGTGGACCAGACCACCAATAGATTAATGTGTCCGTCCGTCCGTCCGTCCGTCCGTGGGAGGGGTGGTGTTGAGGGTGGTGTTGGAAATGAAAGACTACGAGTCTTTAAATCTCACAGCGTTTCTTGTCAAAACAAACACTTTTAATTAACGTTACACTAGAATACAGTAATTTTTTCTTTAACTCCTCTATACCCGGTCGATATCTCTGTACCGGTACTAAGTATTATTCCTACCAGCCCACCCCGCAGGGTCCTGTTTATACAGGGTAAGAGGAGGGGGGATGAGCCAAGGTGCAGGATGGGGGGGGAGCCAGGAAGGTGAAGGTGGAACTTCACGTGACTTTACCGAAAAAAAACCCCTAAGAGTATGAATCTTTGCAGTCACGAAAGCTTCAAATCTAGACTCTATGTTAGACTGTTGGTATCAGTGTGAGTTTGTGGAGCCACTGTTCGAGTCTGTGGCTTTCTGTGCAAGTCTATGGGTGTCTGCGTGAGTCTGTGGTTCTTTGTGGATTTATATACCGGCATTAAAATACAACTGCATCTCTAGACGCTGTACAGAGACAGTGGCCGTGTTTATAGAGCGAGATGGGGGGGGGGGGGGTCAGTCATAGGCACAGCAAGAAACTGAATAATCTCTTGAGCCTGGACTTGAGCAGGGGCAGAGAGTTCACAAGCATGGGTGGAATACTCGGAATTCCATGCAGAGGAGACAAGAGTCAACACCGGCAGAATTGCAAATGCAGAAGAGACTGTTGAAGGGAGTTACACATTGGGAGCGGAGCAACGTGGGCGAATTATGAGAGGTGGAATTTCCCATCGCAAGGATCCATGAGAGGTGGCGGCGGTGGCAGAAGGCCTCCATCCAGCAGTGGATTGGCCGTGGCTGATGATGCCAACCGTGCGGAGGAAAGACAACAAACTAAACACAAAAAGCACTTGATAATTCTAGACTTGAAGCTTTCGTGACTGCAAGGAATCATATTCTTAGGTGTTTTTCGGTAAAGTCACGTAGGTAAAACATCAAAATTAATAAAAATAACAAAATAAAATAAAGATCACGACGTTTCGGAGGCAACACAAGTCTCCGTCACCACCTGATGACGGAGACTTGTGTTGCCTCCGAAACGTCGTGATCTTTATTTTATTTTATTATTTTTATTAATTTTGACATTTGCTAATTGTTTTTTTACCCTTTTATCTGGCAACAAAACTGACACCTTTTTTTTACAAAGAGTCATGTTTGCATTGACCACAATACCTGCAGTCGGAATGCAAACAAAAAACACAACTCTGATAATGTATGCACTGTCCTGTAAAAAAAGGTGTCAGTTGTGTTGCCAGATAAAAGGGTAAAAAAAATGTATCATAGTTTGCTACTGGCAAAGGAGGTTCCAATGGGACAAGAAGCATTTCTAAAGTTTTCAGTCTAGATTTAAAATTGCATAGCTCCAGTGGCTTGCTAATATGGGAAGGAAGAGCGTTCCAGCCGGCCGCAGAAGCGCATCTGAAAACGCGCGACGCGGTGGCCGTCTTTGTTCGGTGGCGAGCCAAAGGTTGCTGCGATGATGACCAGAGTTCGCGTGATGGTTTACGCTCGTTCACCGAGATCAATTAGAAACGATTAGTGCCCCATCGTGCTTGGATGAGCCACCGCCGCGCATGGCAGCTGTTATAGGATGTGGGGCTACATTGTAGGGAAGCAGCAAGGAAGTGCATAAAAAAAACGTTGTTGTACTGTACTCTATTTCTATGCTCCCACATCAATCTAAGTTGTCTTGTGGTTGTTGTTGTTGTTTGACTTGCATCCCACTGGAATTTTTGCACACAGCGTTGGTGTACTGTGCTTTTTTCTGGAATTTTTGCTGTTTTTTTTCCTGGATTTTCAGTTTGCACTTAGTCACATAGTCACTTTAAGATGTTTTCTTGTTCATGTTTTAGTTTTTTGTTTGTTGCGGTTGCACCCGATTCAAGAGCCGAATGGCTCACAGGGCTATACCTAATAAATGAACTTGAACTTGAATCAGCACTGACTAATATGGTGAAGCGTGGTCAATTGGGATTATACGCAGCAAGCATGCGCCCCCCCACCCTTCCCCACTACTGGCAGACGAATTCCCGTTTGCAGGCACAGGGGACAGCTGCCACTGGGGATGCCCTTAAAACATGTGTTGAGATGTAAAGCGGTCAAAGACGCCCCGGGGAATAGAGCACTGAGAACCCTGAGGAACCCCCACGCAGCACAGGGGAAGAAATACAAACTCCACGCAGAAAGCAGCCCCAGTCGGGAACTGAAGCCAGGCGCCTTCTTTGTGTTGAGGCGCGAGTGTTCCCACCGTGCCACCAACTGATGCTTATGGCGGCAAACAGGGGTACTAAATCATACAAACTGGCCGAGGCAATTAAACACATTCCTGCGGAGGGAGCTGGTAGGAACGTTGGGTTGCTCGGTCAATGGCCAGGGTCAACGGCGGCGTGGTGTATTCCGCAAATATGCCCGACTGTGATGGCAGGCACAAGTCGGCGTGAGTAGGTGAAACGTTGAGTTTTATAAGGGCACCACGGGGTGACCAGCCCCTCCCCACCCAGCCCCACCCCTCCCACCCCCCACCCAGCCCCACCCTCTCCACCCAGCCCCTCCCCACCCAGCTCCTCCCCACTCTCGCATCCCCACCGAGCCCCTCCCTCCCCACCCAGCCCCTCTCCACCCTCCCCACCCAGCCCCTCCCCACCCTCCCCACCCAGCCCCTCCCCACCCAGCCCCTCCCCACCCTCTCCTCTCCACCCAGCCCCACCCCTCCCATTTTTGGATGCACGACGGACGGACGGACACAATAATCCCCTGTGGGCTGGTGGAACCAGGTGGTTCCTACCAGTATAAAGCTAATGTACTAAATGTCACGTTCGGTAAATACTATACAAAGTAATAAAACACACACACAAATGAATGGCGTCATTTATTTACCGAGGTCATCATTCATCGACAATAACTATCAAGGGACCTCACGTTGTTAAAGGTTCCAATTTTTATTAATACAATGCGATAGACGGGAAATACTGTTTGAAACATTACAGGTAAAGAAAAAAAACGTATTCAATGCCATGCATCCTTTAAATAATCCAGGGTCTCCCTTGCTAGAGACAACACATCTTCCAAGGGACCTCACTCACATATTCTATATATCTTTCTCTCTTCATATAAAAGGGAAATTTGTAATATTGTGTCTGTTCGAATTGTTTAGCATACTTCCCGACATGCAATAAACTTGAAATGTGGCATGTGGGTAGCTTCCAGACTGTACACAATGCAAAACGTATAAAAAATAGACTTTTGTATTTGGGGGGGGGGGGGGAGGTGGCCATGAAGTGTCTGGCAGTCAACCTGCATACAGGACTTGCGAGAATCGATAGTCTGGCGAGCGTTTGTGGTATCGATTAAACAGGAATAGGCCGATTCTAAAGAAATCTACAACCTTCGATTACTTTGCTCGATTTAAAGAATCGATTCTTGGCGCGAGAGCGTACGTTTTTTTTTACCACCGCGCGTTCGGTTTTATTTTAATTTTAATTAATCGGGTAATGATCAAAGTTTAATTTTATGTTTAAATTGCTTTACATTTTTTATGTATTATTATTGCAAGTAATTTTAATTCTTACCTATAAAAGTTTTTTTTTTGTCTGTCTGTGTACGCAACTTGTGACACTCTTAACTCACAAACTGGGGTTTACATTTCCAACTTTAAAGTAGTTAAATTGACAATTTAGTACTATCAATTATTATATTACTCTACGCTGAGCGCGCGCCAAAGCACGCATCTTGGCATGCACGAAACGTCGTGGTTCCCATAGCAACGCACGAAACGTCGTGGTTCCCATAGCAACGCACGAAACGTCGTGGTTCCCATAGCAACGCACGAAACGTCGTGGTTCCCATAGCAACGCACGAAACGTCGTGGTTCCCATACCAACGCACGTCGTGGTTTCCATAGCAACGCACACGCGCGATCGGTGGGACAGGGGGGAAATCCTCATTCGCTTTAATGCAAAACAAACACATTCCTCCTGCGGAGGGAGCTGGTAGGAACGTCGGGTTGCTCGGTCAATGGTCAGGGTCAACAGCGGCGTGGTGTATTCCGCAAATATGCCCGACTGTGAGGGCGGGCGCAAGCCGGCGTGAGTAGGTTAAACGTTGAGTTTTATAAGGGCACCACGGGGTGACCAGCCCCTCCCCACCCAGCCCCACCCCTCCCCACCCAGCCCCTCCCCACCGTCCCCACCCAGCCCCTCCCCACCCAGCCCTCCCCACCCAGTTCCACCCTCCTCACCCAGCCCCTCCCCACCCTCCCCACCCAGCCCCTCCCCACCCAGCCCCTCCCTGCACGACGGACACAATAATCCCCTGTGGGCTGGTGTAACCTGGAGGTTCCTTCCAGTAAAAGAAAACGCTGAGGTAATTCTTCAAAGTGTCATTTCCTCTTCTCCCCCTCCCACCCCAACGTGTGCAGATACTACTATAGAGTCTGCAGATACTGCTATGGGGCCGTCCATAAATGACGTCACGCACCTAGGGGGGGGGGGGGCAGACATTTGTGACGATGTGTGACGAGGGGGGGGGGGTGAGAAATGTGACGTAACATGAAAATGCGCAACTTTAAATAAATATAGAAGACACGTTCTACTTAATTAAATAGATTTAAAAAAAAAAATTCTCCTACAACATCAGAGTGCAGCGCCACATTAAATACGCACTACAATGACAATAATTAAAGCGATTTGAAGCATGTTTTATTTTGGGGGGGGGGCAGAGCTTTGTGAAATTGTGACGTCATATTTGAGGGGGGGGTCTGACTTTTTGTGACGTCGTGTGACGTAGTAGTTACTACTATAGTCAGTAGGTACTACTATTGAGTCAGTAGTTATTACTTTAGAGACAGATCCTACTGTAGAGTCAGATACTACTATAGAGTCACTATAGCAGTATGTAGGGTGTTTAGGTATATATATCTACACGGGAGGAAAAAAAATGTTGAGGGTGGCGGGGGATCGATAATTTTGAGAAAACTTTTCGATCAACTATTTACCCCCCTCCCCCCCCACTTTCTATAACTTTTTTGACTTCTAATTTTATTGACGCACAAATGAATGGACATAGAAACCGCACGCCGGGCTTTCACAATAGCTTAGTATTTGTGTACGTATATGTCATGTTTTTTAAGTTTTGAGAAGTTTTTAAATGTATTTTTCCCCGGGCAACGCCGAGTTAAATAAAGAAGATCATTAAGTTATCCATGTTGTCATTTACACCATGACGTCACCGCATAGTTGGGTCAGTCCACTCTGAACACCAGGACGGGGGGTGTTTGTAAACTCTCAATAAATACATCCAACAAATACCGAGCCTATAACTTATCAATTACAACACATACTTCATTACAGTTATTAGTATTTGTTAATAGAAGTTATTCTATGATATTTGTTGAAAATTGCTTGCTTTTGTTCACGAATCTCGTGACTTTTTTACGGACACCCCTAGAGAGTAGCAAGGCACTTGGTAGAGTCTAGGGACGCGCCTCTTAAACTCCGAGTTTCCGCGCCTTACGCGTTTAAAATGTCCAATGTTATACAAACGCGGACTTTCTCTCATAAAACATAGCCACTCGGCGCGTCCTAACACACGGTAAGCCCGTCGCTTCGCAACAGTTTCGCGATTAAAAGCTTTGAACGAATAAATGCCAAAGAACATTTGCCTCAGATTTGTGTCGAGTTATAACGGGGTGGTGATGATGGGCTTGGTGTGGGGGCGGATAAAGTGGGACCCACTCATAACTGTTGTATTTATTTATTTATTGTAAATGCAAGTGGAAATTTACGTGTTATAATAATGCATATTAACGTATTCTCCGCCACTATAATGTTAAGAATCGTCACTTAAACGTTTGCCCGGGTTTATCAATAAAGTTATACAAAAAGTGGGTTCTCACAATCCCCGCACCGGATTATAAGACGCAGCCCCCCCCCGCCAAACCACGTATCCATATCCCTGTAAAAGAACAGGCGAATAATCAATATAATTCAGTTACATACAACATGACATGATTGTTATTGGTAGTCGTCGGCATGTACGCGTGTAGGTTTAACTTCTTCCGCACCGTACGTAGCGAACCGTATTCATCGGATGTGCGGGTTAAAGGACAACAAACTAAACACAAAACGCGGATTTAAAGAGCATAAAGCATAATGTGTCGTGCCGAACATACCGGGTCCCGTCATAGAAATGTAGAATTTCCACCGCTGTGCAGGGGGGAGGTGTTAGTAAATGATGTCTCACGCCTGATCAATATTATCGTATCGTACACTGCTACTCAGGGATTGTGGAATAGAGATCGATCAGTATTGCTCTACTCGATTGCTGGCCAGACAGTTGAGCTCAATACTCGTTGTCCGCTTATTTTGATCGATGGATATTATCGTGATGCTTTGTTTGAGGTTGATAGACACTTTAGTTCGCGAACGTTAAGGGAGATAATAATGTATTTAAAATGTAGGGAATAATAATAATAATGTATTTAAAATGAAGCTATCTTGCATGAGCGAATCGGGCGGAATGCACCACATTATCGTGATGCTAAGCAAGGGTTGAGCCCGGATAGTGCTGGGATGGGTGACCTATTGTGTAACAGATTATATCGGCTGGCTGGGGTTCTACAGCAGAGGGCAGTGCAGCGAAATCCATCGTTGTGCTGTACTTCTATGCTCCCATCTTTCACCAACTCGCGCTGACCAGCGTGGTGAAGTATGGTCAAACAAATCCCCACAGCATATGGGAGCCCCCCCCCCCCCCACATTACAACTGTGGATAGATGGACAAAGGGCCGCAAGTTAACTTTATATTGGGTTTTTTTATAAAGATGCCAAGCGATTGTGGAATTCGTGTATTTAGTGCAAAGATGCAAAGACGGAAGGTTTGAGGTACAGTGGTCAAAACCCCTTGTGTGTGTTTACATGAACGCCGATTAAAATGTTATTTTAAAAGTGTTGGAATGTCTAATCTTAAGTAAGATTGGATTCCCAGACTGCCTTTCATGTGCTTTACTGCCCAAAAGAAACTCATTTTGTTTATTGTTTCAGTAATTTCTCTGAAATAATAATAATTAAATAATCTGGAAAGAAACTTGCACAACTTCCACAAATTGTGTGGATAGTCTCTTTGGAAAATGTTATGCTGGATGAGGCCCCTCACGTAAGTCGTGATGATAATTTGACAATACTTCACCATGCTGGTCAGCATGGGTTGAAGGCAGGAGCATAGAAGTACAGTACAAAAGTGGATTTTACTTCACTTCCCATCATTGCCTACCACGAAGCCCCACTCTCTACAATAATCAGTTTTATACATGGTGGTGGCCCACCAAAGACAGTCTCAATCGTGATTAGCTTCGGAGATCTGATGAGATTTAGTGGTGCATTCTATGTGATTTTGTCACAAGTTGCCCGATGTTTTAAATCGCACATGTTGAGAAACTCGGTGTCTCTCAGATCAAGCATGCACTGGGGTTATTTTGGGGGCCTTTGTTGGCAACCCTAGTCCATAATCCAGCAGTGTAAGTTTCTACTTTCCCATGACAAAGCATAGCACTACCACTGGAGATGTCTCACAACGTGGCACTGATTTTATCATCCTCGCAAAAGGAACGATGGCCGGAGTCCATCCCAATTCACAACACAAATGTATTTTATAAAGTTACTTTATTGGTAGTGCAGTGGGAATGGAATTGTGCTATAAGCCCAAGGAATTCAGTTTCATTCCTGGCCACTGTTAACATCAATACCAAGTGATATCTGGACTGGTCCTGGGCTCTCCATTCACCAATCCACACTGACCAGTATGGTGAAGTATGGTCAAACAACCCCCCCCCCCATGACCGACGTGGTGTGACCAGGCCTCCATGCAGCAGTATATTATTTTATTATAAAGTCACTTCAAAGTGGGCAAGATATTCATTAGGAAACCGAGAAAAATGTAGCATGCATATATTAAACTATTAATACAGAGTCCTAAACTCGTGACACGTGCTTGTGTCAGAATTATTGTTTTACAGTCATATATGTTGTGTGTAATGGGTTCATGTTACACCGTGCAGCCGCTAGAGGCCGCTATATCTCCCACAGTGTAAAATTATACACCACAGTATTTCTGAATGGAATTGCGGCTCTGAATTACAATTCTTGGAATCACTGGGTAGGTGTTTCTTATTTTGCTTCTAGAAATGAGACAGTAGTAACATACATAAGCATTACGTGTCTAACGATGCATAATTTAAACGCATTAAAATGTATTAGTATGCTCATGATGTGCACGTACAATCGTTTCATCAGTGTACTACTGGATAAGGGCCTCCCCAAGCATTTGTGGGTTGTAGGGGATATTTTTCCCATACTTCACCCTGTTGCTCAGCGTGGGTTGGTGAAGGAGAGTAGGTAGCATAGGCGTGGACGTATGGAAGTGCAGTACAACAATGTATGTTACGTCACTGCCCTCTGCTGCCAATTGAACTTCCTACGCACCGTATGTAGCCAACCGTGTTTAATCGGAGCTGTGGAATTGTGTGTGACAGTAGATTACAATAAAACCAGGTGATTATGGTAGTGTTACTTATCGACGAAGGGAGTGACTAGAACCGTACGAATATATCCGAGATGGTAAAAACGATGCAGAAAAAATGTAATCTTGGATCAAATCGCGGCCGTGAATCCTCACTCTGATTGTGAATGGTTACTTCCAAAAGAGCACACGTGAAATGTATACAGTATTTTAAAAGCCCACACAATGTAACTGGTATTTGTCAAACATCCCAATGATGAAAACTTACCTGCAAAACACTCAATTTGGAATAAACATAGCAATATTGACCCCCCACTGCGAATACTTGGTAGGATTGTCCTGAGAAAAAACCAACGAGTGTTGAGACTCAGGTTTTCCTGGGTAAACACGTGCACGTACATCAATAAGTAATACAAATTGGCATTGCCGCACAACTATTCCACTATATTATTGGTTCTTTCGGTAAAGTCACGTAGAAGGGAAACAATAAAATAATACAAATTATAAAACAATTAAATTCTCACGACGTTTCGACTGCAACACAAGCAATCATCATCAGGTGTGAAAACTACAGCAAGAACATTTTTATCTTGTTTCCCTTCTACGTGACTTTACCGAAAGAACCAAGAATATGAATCCCTGCAGTCACGAAAGCTTTAAATCAAACCTATTCCACTGTTAACAAAGAGAGGTCACCTTTCCCCGTATTCACAACGGTGCTCACTCGTGTTGTATTTTGTGACAAGCTGCAGACTTGGGGGGGGGGGGGGAAGGTTGGTTGTCCTATGAATAGCCAGGCTCCTGCCAAAGGAATGTGTAATTTCCGCCACTGGCTCAGGGCTGCCAAAGTAGCTTAGCGCCTCCCAATGATCCTTCCTCAGAAGATGATTTAGATGCTAAGTTATTATCTATTCTAAATGCAACTAAATGGAACTGCTTTAAAATAGTTAATTTACACAATGCAATGTTGCATATCCGACCATTACATATTCATCTTGACAAATTAACCGCCCACATCCAGTGTAGTATTTTAGCATCATGCAACAGTTATTTCTATAGATGTACACATATCTGACCTTATCGCATATCTGCCGATACCTCAGACCCCAGCGGGTCAGACTCCAGCGGGTCAGATATGCGATGTTGTACTTGGTTGAATATGTGACCCGAATTTTTGTTTATTAAAAATTTAAGGTGCATTTGGACCTTAGTTTCTAAGATTTTGTTTATTAATGTTGTACCATTCATGCTTTGTTTTACCTGTAATATTCTGAAATCAAATTTATGGTTTAACCTTGGACACCATTGCAAGTAAGAGCATGTATCATATTATCTTAATTGGTCATTGTAGGCTGAGGGTTAAAAGTTGACTACAACTATTACCAGTAGGCCACTTGATTTTTATATCCGAACCCTGACTTTTAACTCCAGCCTAGTGGGAGGATAAACTGATTTAGAGGTTGTCGCTTTGGTCATTAGTCCTAGTTCTGACTCGAACCCTAACACCACCAGCCCAACGCGGGCGGCAGGGTGGCGCATTGAAAACTCTTGTGCCTCACAGCAAGACGGATCTAGGTTTGATACTCGATTTGGGCTCCTTTCTGCGTGGAGTTTGTCCTCTCCCTGTTCTGGGTTTCCCTCCCTGAGTTTCCTCTGGGTTCTCCAGTTTACTCCCAGAGCTAAAAGAAAACTACAATGTAACTGGTATTGGCCAAACATCCTAATACCTGCAAATCAATCGATTGGAATGACACATATCAACAATCTGTTCTAATGCAAAAACTTGGCAGGACCCTCCTGAACAATATTCTTGAGACTCATTGAGGAATTCCTTGGTCAACATGCGTCATAATAAGAAACAATGAATGCAATTATAAACTTGAGTAGCCCTGGTCTGGAGTAGCCCCGTTCTTGCTGATGATGAACGAATACATTATAAGGTCGCACTCGGTACAGACAAAGTGCTTGTCACAAGTGAACCACAATACCTCGCTGATCTCGTCAAGGACCATCAACCATCACGCGAACTGCGGTCATCCTCGCAACAGCGGCTTTTGGCTCGCCATCGAACAAAGATGGTCACCGCATCGTGCACTTTCAGATGCGCTTCTCGGGCCGTTTGGAATGCTCTTCTTTCCGATATTAGGAACCCACTGGAGCTATGCACTTTTAAATCATCTAGATTGAAAACTCATTTCTTTATAACTGCTTTTTCGTGTTTAGTTTGTCCTTCCCCTGCACCTACAATTAGCATGGTTGGCTATGTACGGTGCGAAAGAAGTTCTACATACATTAATGCACTTTGCTGCGAGCGATTATTGCTTCATGGAACCAGTGTGGGATGGTAATGGCTTGGGGGGCCTTCGTCAAGCACTGGATTGATCTTGGCCAATGATGCGGTGAAGATGATGAATTGCGTGTCCCCGCTGCCTGGCATATGTCAAGCGACGCGATGCGATGCCAAGGGTCCCCCCCGTGGTTGCCCTGTGGTCCAATCTGCACCGTAAACAAGGTTTAGTGTTACGGTCACGCGTCTCAGCTAAAAGCGACCGCCTCAATAATGGCCGCTTTAGATAAATATATCCATTTATTTACACCCGTAATAGTGCGGCCGCCCTCGTACAATCTCACACAAGGTGGATTTGTTGTTGGGGTAAGTGCAGCTTTAAGTTGATATCTTTTTTAACCAGGTTACAACTAAAGAGACAAGGATGGTCTCGTTTACAAGAGTTGAAGAGGGTTGCGTAGAAAGGTTGCTAACCATGGTCTTGCTCCTTCTGACCTCATCAGGTCATGTTAGAAGCTAAGCAGAGTTGGGCCTGGTTAGCACTTGGATGGGTCACCGCTGACAGCTGGGTGTGGGAAGCATGCTAGAGGGCGCCCTTTCCTCTGTGTTCCGCAGGGGTCACATTCCTGTAGACTCAGAAGGAAACCTTCGGGTTTTGAAAGATGCGCAATCAGCACTTTAGCTGTCTCAGTTTGGAGACACCGCTCTGGGTTCAGTAGAAGACAGTCTTTCCTCGGAGTTCAGTAAGGACAGTCTATCCTCTGGGTGTCTCAGTGGTAGACACTCTACTCTGTAAGTTCATTAGCCAATGCTTCCCTCTTGAGGTGTCTCAATGTCAGATATTCTCTGCTCATGACTCGGCAGCAGACATTCCTCTGCATTCAGTAGAGACACTCTGCCATTCTGTATTCAGTACAGACACCCTCCCCTCTCAGTTCAGTAAGATGCATCTTTTCATCGGGGTGTCTTAGCAGTAGATACTCGTCTAAGTTAAATAGCCAACACTCCCCTCTCTGGGTGCTTTTACTCCCAGATATTCTCCCATATTGACTCAGCTGCAGACATTCCTCTGTATTTAGTCAGTGCAGACATTCTCCTCTTTGCGTTCAGTATGAAACACCCTCCCGTCTGGATGTCTCAATATCAGAAACCCGTGCAGGCTGACTCAGTGGCAGAGGCCTGCGAAGAGATTGTGGTTACTATACGGTGCAACGAGTGTATTTATTGCACATCTCTTAAGGGTTGTTGTGGTGAAACAAAGTTCACGCTGCAACGATTAGCGTGATGTAAGGGTCCCTTTGTAATGGTATTTTGCCTTTTTATCGTCTGCGTTTTGTGCTTTGATGTACTTCAAGTACAAATAAAGGTTACTTAAAATGTAATTCAACTGCAATGCACTCAAGATGAGCCTGTCTTATTACCCACATGCTTAAAAAAAATTCTTATTACCATTATTGCATACATTATTCCTGAAATCGTTTTACAAACCGATAATTTGATGGGTGATATTATTATCTGTATCTCTGATTTGCATAAAATGGCTATATACGGTGCGGAAGAAGTTCATTGTACATACATTGTAATTGTGAACTCTTATTATCGTTATTATATAATATGTTATAATTATTGTCGTCTATTTATTATTTTTATAAATATTTAATCTGTTAAGATTGGATACTTCAAAATAAAATCAGCAAAAAGATCATCACAATACAGCGAAATTTAGCAAAACGCACGATACGGTTACGGAAAATGTTACATCCTAAGATACGTCGTAGCATCGCCATGTTGCCGCAGCCTGAGTACAGACACTCTCTCCTCCAGGTTTTCTGAGACACCTTCCACTCTGGATGTCTCAAAAGGAGACACTCTAATTTCTAGGTTTAGTAGGGTCACTCCTCAACTCATCCCTATTTGATCGCTCGACACCATTGCGGGACTGTCACAGGCAGGAGGATGTTGACCGTGGACCTGTGCAAAGTGGCTCAGTGGCAGTAGTTGGCAAAGCGATGGTATGCGTTGGGGCAAGTGTGAAGGGACTCTCACACACCAGACTGCATGCACACACACACACCGTCTCATCGTGTGTGGCGGTGGCAGCGTCGCCCCACACACAGTGGGGTTCTGGTTAAAATAGTATACGGTGCTAACAGGTGACGGTGTTCTAAAATAGACGTAAACCCTCTTGCTGCTGCTGCTGTATGGCCAGGGTCAGCGGCCGGGTCAGTGTGCTGTCTGTGCGACGGATACACGGGCCTGCATGCCCATGTACGCACGTTGCATACTACAAGGACTCCATCTAAATATACAGGCACTCTTACTGTATATCCGGCAGAGTGGTTAGAATGTGTGACTCACAATCGGAAGGATACGAGTGTAAGGTCCAATCGCGAGTCAATCCAGCCTGGCGTCACATCACATGATTACCACTTCGTGGTAGGGTAATGGGGGTTGCCTGTGGTTATCTGCTATAGGAATAAGGATTGTCATGGAAATCCCATAAAATCTCATTGTCACAAAAAGTAGGGTTTTGATGAGTAGGCAAATGAAATGGATGGGAATGTTGAATTACTAATTTCAATGCGCAGCCGTCTGGGGAAATGTTACAATACATTTTAAAACATTTTTATTAAAAGTTAATCAAATGAAGCTAGCATTAGTTATGTGTAAAATACAAATATATATTTGGCTGATCAGATTGTGAACACAAATGTGACATTTCCATCATTAACTCAAGACCAGAAACAGAGATGGTAAATACCAATTCATATCCTTCAGAGTAATAATTTTGATACATGCCTTCTGTACATTTATTTTAATGTATTGTGCATTCTATTTTCAGATAACTGAAGAAATGCGACTGGAAATTGACTGGAAATGAAAATCGTCGTCATTGTCAGCATTTAAACGAAGATGATGACCTCTGTTAGTTATATACAGTGTTATCATAGTTATTATCTCTGATATGCATCATCAACATTGTCATTACTGTCTTCATCGTTGTCATCAATGTAATGAACTTGAACTGCAAAATTGACAAAATAATGCAGAAACTGACCCATTAGATGACAAGTGCTTTTAATTTAGTTCATACCCACAGTTATTTCAACGATGTAGTTCTTTAGACATTTCATATATTGTTTCACCTGCCCAATAAATATAAAAACCCATTTAATTTCCAAATTCATGCCGATCACATAAAAAATATATAACATATCATTTTGAGCACTCGCCCTTTTTGTAACCAGGAAATTTAAACTCACTAACGAATACTTCCTTACAAAAGTTCAAAACTCTGAATTTTAGAAATAAACGTACAACCAATAAAAGCGGAATTCTCATAATGGAAGACTGGCGGCAACAGCAGCTGTTGCTCTCTCAGTCACTCTCCACCTCATCATCCCTCTCATCTCTGTCATCCCTGTCATTGTCGTCATCTTCGTCGTCGTCCCTTCGCCCCGGCCCTCCGGCCGCCTATAAGCTCGTGGCGACGAGCGTGACCCATTTCGGCAGCGCTCGCGCCGAGGCCTGCCTGCCCAGCATCACCACGCCGCTGAGCCGTGCCGTGCACCATTGCGTGGCCACCGACAACGCCGCCAAAACCGCCAGCACCGCAAAAACCACCGGCAAGTGGGAGGGCAGTCATGGCTGCAGTCTCAAAACCACTGAGGCTCAGAGGGCTGGCGGCATCCTCAAGGCCACCAGTCAAGGTGGCCACTTTCAAGACGTTGTTGGTGAAACTGGAGGTGCTTTTCCAGTTTTGGCACCCCACTGTGATGAGCTACAAAATGGCTGCTTTCGAGAGGGTGTCACGCCGGGCTGGTGCGGCGTGGCTTCGTGCCGGGTGGTGCACCGTGGCACGTGCTCCCCTGCAACCCCACGAATCGTGCATAGCTCACCTGTGAAGGCGACCGCCTTCGCCATGGGTGGGGGTCGATGCTCGAACGACGATGGCCTCACTCATTTATTCATCGGCAGCAGCGGCGACTCCTCCGATTGCGGTTCCACGGCTCCCAAGAATAACGTGGTCCTTGCCCGGAAGAGCCTCGCCAGGCCTAACGTCGCTGTGGGAACAATAGAACTGGCGAGCGGAAAAATCAAAGAGTTTTCCCGACAAACGCAGCAAGCGCAGGCGAACGCGGCGCGCAGGAGCCCCCGGCGGAATAAAGGAGCCTCCGACGCCAAGGCCCCTGCGACAGTGAAACACGCGTCGAGGATGAAACCAATGTCAGATCCAGAGACATCACTGTGCGTGGCCCGACCGAGCGGCAGGGCAGGTCCTGATGCGGCCTTCGACCTGCTCTTGCCATATCTGCGCCAGGGCCTCCTCGTCAGGCTCCTGGAGGAAGCCGGCGCCTCCACGGGCGGAGATAACACCGGGAGTGTCGAGCAGTTTCTGTCGTCGTTGTTCGCATCGACGACATCGGCGCCTTCGACGGCCGCTTTCTCGTCCACAGAGGACATCCGAGCCTGCCTGCAGATCCTGGTGAAGTGCTCGGAAGACCTGAAGCGGTGCACCAACATTATCAAGCAGTGTGTCGACGAGAAGTCTCAGCGCGACGGCAAGGCGGTGCGTGCCGGTTGCGGGTCGTCTACTCCTGACCTCCACCGGGCCCTGCCCGACACGGCCGGGCCTGAATTTCTCGCGGCATTCCTTGGGGGTGCCGTCGCCGCGGCAGCCGCAGCAGGATTTGGTTCTATTGCCCCCCCGTCCTACGAAGACGTTGTCTCCTCCTCGTCCCACCCAGGCCGCCCTGCTACACCTCTGCCACCAAACGAAATGCCATTACGACGGTCGCTGGAGTTGAAATCGTCATCGTCTTCGCATCCGACATCAAAATTCACAGGAAGGAAACCGTCGAACAAAACATCATCTTTGTTCTCACTAGCTCCTAGTCCGAATTCTGTGGCAATTGTTCCACCATCGCAGGATACAGGTGCTGACTTGCTGTTGCTACCAACACAGGCGACCAGTGAGAATTGTGCTTCCAGAAGTGTTGATGGTGGTGTCGCAGATAACGGGAAGCTGCCTCACATGTTGATCAACTCCACCAACATGGCGGCAGATTTTCCACAGCTTCTTCCGGCCGTGGAAAGTGAAGGAAGTATCGGGGAAAAGCGTGAGTATGATGTGGATCAGATTCTGGTGGAGTTGGAAAACATTTCCAAGGAATTTTCGTCACCATCTCCTGTGAAGTCGAATGCTAAATTGGATCCGGCAAAAGGCGCGAAGGCAAACGACCGAAACGATAACGACGAGGATGAAGATAAACTGCTGGGGAAGGGTGAGTCGCACATTCAGCTATTATTTTACTGAAGTTAATGCTCTATTGTGTGCAAGTGGAGTATGCAAGTTGTGGATTAACCGTCCTTGCAAAGAAATAAATAACATATTTACAATGCATGCTGGTTTAATGAAAGGCTGCTCCTCACTGCTCGATGGTTAACAACTATTGACAGCACAACCCGTCGGTAAGGAAACCGATTTACTTTAAGAACCAGTCAAAACAGAAGATGGATTTTACTTCTTAATCCCCACATTCTATGGACAAATTACATTTTATAGTATCATTGACTTTTCACTATCCTTGGTTTAGCCAGGCCACAATTCCCCCTCCCTCCAATACCCCGGATAATTGAGGGTTTGACTGTATTCATATTTTTACAATGTTCATTTTTCTTGAGTTGTTTAAAGTAATTGTTGGCACATTCGCAAAGTGTAATAAACCGTGCCATGGGGCGTTTTATCTAAGCGGAGGACTCGGCTCTCTAACACCAAGCAAGCAGCGTCATAGCGGGATGCCATTATTTACGAAGAAAAATTTAGGACAGTCGTTCCCAGCAACCATCATCATTGGTGGGAAACTGGGAAATGGAATTTCTTTATGCAGTCCATTCTTACCAGTCAGGTAGTCACCACTTAGTCAATATACAATACATTACAAGCTCAGCTTACCAGGAAAGTTATCAGTCCGGAGGCTGCTCCTTCATCCATCCAGATCCCACTCATGCAGGAACTTAAATCTGACATTTCTTAAAATTAAGAGAACACGTGACATCAGAGGCAGTCTCTGGGCCTCTGTCTATGATCTGATCAGGAGTTGCTGTGGTAACCGTTGTCTGTTATGATTGCCCTAATATTGCTCCAGTGGATCATGGCTGTAAGAGCAAGCAGCCAAGAGTTGACATTCTTGAATAGGGTCGGGTTATGTGGGGTTGGCGGTGAAGCAGCGGCAGTGTTCATCTCCTCACATTGACACTGCAGCTTTAATGCAGAACAAATCATTCCTGCTCCTGTTGTTCTTCTCGTACAGCTCAAACTTTGTAACTCCCTTTTAGATTTACAACCCAATATAAACAGTTATTTTCAACTATATCTCAAACCACTTCTGGAAAAAGGAAAGCCTCCCCACACTTTGTCGGTCTTGGGGGTTGTGTGGCCATCTTCACCATGCTGGTCAATGCGGGTTGGTGAAATCAGGGCACAAAACCGGTTTAGATTTCACTCGGCTGCGATGTCAGCTGTGCTCAGAAATCAAACTCTGGTTGGTCAGGTTTATAGAGCAACAACTACACCACCGCTCTGAGTCTTACATTAAATCGACATAAATAGATACATAGCTAACAAAGTCTAAAGTACCTTCTGTAGGTTTTCAGAAAATTCATCAGCCAGAAAAATATATGTGCAGGCTGGAAACGATATATATACACACACCAATTGTATAGTATTATAATGTATGCAAATAAAAATAGAGGACATAAACACACCAGAAAGTTTCAGCATGCTTTGTTTGCCAGGGTAATGGCACGACATTCTTGCATTAATTTTCCACACAGCCTGCGATATTTACCAACCTGGTACATAACACTAGAGGGCAGCCTGTTCTACAGACAAGATTACGTGATGCCTGACACCTGACCATCATCAGACACTTACACATTCCTCCTGCGGAGGGAGCTGGTAGGAACGTTGGGTTGCTCGGTCAATGGCCAGGGTCAACGGCGGCGTGGTGTATTCCGCAAATATGCCCGACTGTGAGGGCGGGCACAAGCCGGCGTGAGTAGGTTAAACGTTGAGTTTTATAAGGGCACCACGGGGTGACCAGCCCCTCCCCACCCAGCCCCACCCCTCCCACCCCCCACCCAGCCGCACCCTCCCCACCCAGCCCCTCCCCACCCTCCCCTCCCCACCCAGCCCGTCCGCACCCTCCCCACCCAGCCCCTCCCCACCCCTCCCAATTTTGGATGCACGACGGACGGACGGACACAATAATCCCCTGTGGGCTGGTGGAACAAGGTGGTTCCTACCAGTACAAACTGGCCCGATATTTGTCCGAGACCTTACGGCCATTCACTGGTAAGACCACCTCTTCTGTAAACTCAGCTCACCTGGTATCGTCAATTAAAGACTTCTCACTGTCGCCAGGTGATTTGCTCGTTAGTTTCGATGTAGTTTCTTTGTTCACCAAAGTTCCTGTGCCCCTGATACCATTGCAATCATTGAAGATTTGGTCCAACAAGGATTGAATGCTGATGTACCAGCCCTGGTGAGACACTGCCTCACTAATACATACTTCACCTGGAATGGAACATTCTACAAACAAACTGAAGGCACCCCAATGGGTTCTCCCTTATCTCTGGTTGTGGCCAATATTTTCATGGAAAAATTTGAGATGGACGCCATCCAGGTATCCACTCTATGCCTGACCCTTGTGGAAGAGGTACGTGGATGACACGTTTGTCATCTGGCCACATGGCCGACCAGCTCTAAACCAATTCCTCAACCACATCAACTACATACACCCAGCCATCAAATTCACCATTGAGGTAGAAACGGATTGCATGCTACCTTTCTTGGATGTCCTAATAAAAAAGAGACCAGATGGCTCAATGAGCCATTCTCTCTACAGGAAAGTAACCCATACTGATGCCTACCTAAAACCTGATTCCCACCACCATCCATCCCAGAAGAATTCCCTCATAAAAACGCTACACCATAGAGCTCAATGTATCTCCGACCATGAACACCTAACCAGTGAACTCAAACACGTACACCAAGCTCTCAAAGCGAACGGATATTCTGATGACACAATCCGCAAAGCCATCACCCCAACCGTGAGGAAGGAGCCATCTGAGCATCCAATCAAAATCATCACCCTGCCATACATAGCAGGGGTAACAAAACATATTTCCAAAATCATGAACAAACACAAGATCCAGGTCCGATTTAACACAGTACATAAAATTCGTGATCTGATCCCATCTGTGAAGGACAAGATTCCTGACATGCAATATCCCGGCGTCTACAAACTAAGCTGTATCTGTGGCAGCACATTGAACTAAGAATACAGTTATCGCTTGTTTGATCTCACAGTACATCATTTATTTTTTCTGAAATCCCTCTGGCTCTGAGTACCGTTTACACAGCAGTATAAATAGGTTTACCAAAGTGGGTCGCGTTAGTCAGGGTAAAGCGTGGATACGTCCACCCTCTGGGATGTTTGTAGAGCGCCCTCTAGTGGAGGCCCTTCAGCCAGTCGTGGCAACAAATATATTCAGGTCTTCACCATCATCTTATTTTCATTGGCATCATCATTATTATTGGTCATTGCCACCTATAATTGGAACAACAGGTCACCACTTCTTCCAACCCTATAATCCATATAGCTGAACTCTAAACCTAACCCAGGTCTCTTTGCATCTCGAGTGTGCCCCCCCCCTCCCGCCAGCAGTAAGCATGAGAGCTGCACTTTCACCACTTTTACAAGACTGTTGTGTAATATAAAAAAAAATTACGCACACCTTTTTCATAACTGCTTTAAACACTGGTCCTAATGCAAACTGCATCACCGCCACCCCTCCACCCATCCACCCTCTCTACCCAGTGCTGGCAGTGATGGAGGGCCTGGCCACGGACCTGGCGCAGTGCGGCGCCACCGGCTCGGGCGCCCGTCTGTCGGGCGAGGCACAGGTGCGGGCCAAGCAGGACCTCATGGGGCTTCTCATGGAGAGACTTACGACGGCGCTGCAGGGTCCCGAGTCAGGCCCCACGGCCCTGGCAGTTCCTCAGGAGCGGCACGCCCACCAGGCAGCTGGCGCAGATGCGGCGGAGGCGGCGACGCATTTGGTAAGCGGCGGAGGGCTTGAGTGTGTGCACGTGTTGCGCTGTTGTGACGTCACCGTCATCAATATCTGTTTTTTTCGCTTGTACAATGGCAGGTCAAAAACCGCAATGGGGTTTTTCCAATGCAAAAGCTGAGGCTGTGCCTGCCGACACTACTCGTAGTGAACTAGTTGAGATTCATGTAGATGAATTGGTGACACCGTCTTCACAGTGTACTGACTGACGTTACACAAAGAATACGTCATTAAACCCTGCCCCTGGCTCTGCTTGACTCTGAGCCACATATCAAATGTTTTGTGAGGCTAGAGTGTATCACCATTATGTTCTGGCTCGGTGCAGCCAGTAGAAAACCACCCATACCATGAGGGGCCCCCATGCTATCTCTGCTCGCATGCACCAGTGTAAAAGGGGTATTCGTGTGTGTCTCCATGTCTGTGTTTTGTCTCCCTCTCAAATTTAGTTGTACCTGATGACTGCTTATGTTGCAATAAAAACGTCGTATTCTATTTTATATATTTTCTTTCTACGTGACTTTACTGAAAGATCCAAAGAGTAATTCCTCTAGTCACGAAAGCTTAAAATCAAGTCATAATATTTATTTAATTGGCTGGGTAAAGTTGTGTGGAAACTGCCTGACCTGTCGCTTCACACACATTTATCTTGGGTTTAACGAGACTGGATTGTGTGAGGAGCTCAATAATCCTTGCAAGATCTGGACACTTTCCCATTAGTGAACGCCTCTGACAAGGCGAGGCTGCGTTGGCTGGGTCATGTAATAATAATAATGCAATTTATAACGTGCGCAAATTTGCGGACGTAACGGCTGTAACTCAGGCGTGGAGCCAAGCTCAGAGTCGCTCGAAAGCGTGGCTGTAGAGGTGAGTTTTTAAGTGTCTCTTGAAGGAGGCGATTGAGGTGATGCTGCGAATGTGCAGAGGGATGGCATTCCAGACTGTTGGGGCTGCCACCGAGAAGCGGCGCATAGACGTGACCATCCTGGATCTTGGTATCAAGAGGAGGTCGTGAGTCGCGCTGCGCAGGCATCTGCCGTGTGCTGAGCTGCAAGTTGTCAATAATAAGGAAAGGTACGGCGGGCAGGCGGATGTGAAGGCATCGTGGCAGAGGGAGGCGATCTTGTATATGACCCTGCTGGCAATGGGTAGCCAGTTGAGGGCACGGAGACAGGCAAGTGAGTCGAGACGGGGATGAGTGTGGCCAATGACGACACGTGCTAGGTTGTTTTGTAGTCTTTGAAGTTTTTTTTTGAGGCTTGTATGCCCATCCACTGCATGCCAAAGCAGCTTCTGTTTGGCTGGATACAGGGTAGAAAATGTGTGGAGCATGGTCTAGAGAGTAGATGGGCTGATGTGGTGTGGGGGAACTAGGAGCTGAGTAGATTTGCCGGTGACTGGTACCAGTTGAAGGCAGTCGCAGTTCAGCAGCAAAGGAGGGCAGACGAGCCATACTCATGGCAATGAGAGCAGAGCGCCGGGTGGCAGAGGTCGCAAACGGGTTTTGATTCCTTACCCGTACCCGGCCGCACTAGGGTCGCAAACGGGTACCCGATACTCGGCTGGGTACAGGTAGCCGGGTATCGGGTAGGGTACGGGTATCGGGTACCCGATTGCGACCTCTGAGATGAAGGCATGTTGCAGGCGCGGGTGGGTTGATTCTAGGAACTTGAATTGTGAGAAGAGACAAGACGTTGGGAAATGAGTGACAAACGGTTACTCACCAGTGACTGACGGCCTTCTCACTCATTGGTTGGGGTGAGTCACGTGCGGCTACCCGTACCCGTACCCGGCCACACCAGGGTCGCAAATGGCTACCCGTACCCGGCTGGGTACGGGTAGCCGGGTATTGGGTAGGGTACGGGTATCGGGTACCCGATTGCGACCTCTGCTGGGTGGCTAAAACATAGTGATGTGCCACATTGGGAAGATCAGATGTTGCATCTGCCAGTCATCGCAATCAACACCTTGCACTGTCATGTGACCTGCTAACGTGCCTTTGACACTTCAAATGGTCTTAGAATACACCTACCCTGGCACAAGTTGGGGGTTATTGATGTGTGTGTGTGTTTGTGAAGGATGCTAGGAATAGTATGAAAGGATAGGGTAAGCAATAGGTAATGGTGCAATTCACTTCTACAGCGTTTATGTGAATGGACATGATTTGGGGTTGTGATTAGATACAAGAAACCATTACTGTCTCATTTGTATTCTATTTATTGTCTAGTTTGTATAATTTAGTTTGCTCCATCAGCGTAAATGTAAACTTAGCATATAATTTGCATATATTGCAAATCGATTCAAACAAGGACAATTCTAATTGTTTACCATGAGCTGAATAATCAATGCTTCATTACATATTCATTAACAATTCAAAGTGGGCAACTGGGTTGGCAACTTACAGTCAGACACATAGGTTGTGTGCTGTATAAGGCAGACCTTACGAGTGTGTGTTTGTGAGTGCTTGTGAGTATGGGTGTAATTATACGCCCTCCTCATGATTCGATGAATTGTTGCAATTTAGGGTTACAATTACATTTATTTTTTTACATTGTGGTGAATGCAGCGGTGACTAGTGGCTACAGGGGGTCATGCATGTATGTATGTTGAACTTATTTCGCACCGTACGTAGCCAACCATGATAATCAGAGGTGTAATTAGGAATGGCAAAGCATGCGATGCTTCGATGCATGGATTGGTCAGGTAAATAATCAATGCACACTTTCGATTTAAAGCTTTCGTGACTGCAGGGATTCATATTCTTGGATCTTTCGGTAAAGTCACGTAGAAGGGAAATAATAAAATAATAAAAATAAAACAGAATACAATTCTCACGACGTTTCAGCCACAACACAAGCAGCCGTCCTCAGGTGAAGAACAAAGCTCTGAGAATTTTAGTATGTTTTATTTTCATTATTTCCCTTCGACGTGACTTTACCGAAAGTTCCAAGAATATAACATTCAATGCACACCTTTTAGGCTCTGCAAACATTGTTCCATGTATATCAGACAAACCATGTTTTTTCACGTCTCAGAACTGGAATTTTTGCCAAATTTCGTGAAAAAACTAATGTTCTGTTATGGGTCGTTTTGTACTCTCATTGGTGACCAAGCTGAGCCCATAAACTCACCACAGCTGAGAACCTGGTTTAATCCCACGTGGCTGACACCCGGATTTAAAACCCATATCTTCAGGTTCTGGTTGTGTATTCTTGATCTCTCAGGCACCAGGCCAGCTCCGTGACATCATTCTCCGGTGGCGTGCATTGAATTGTTTTTTATTCTTTTGCCCCAACTTCATCCCAATGTTGCGATCATTGGTACGTCATGACGAGAAGAATCCATGATGTCTCGCAGAGGGTTGCAGAGTACAGATTGTCAATCTGAGTACAAAATGTTGGGGATATGCTCTCCAACACACCGGTGTGCTGCACTAGCAATGACTTGGCATGTTCTGTTTACGTGACAAACCGTACTAATTTACGCGATCTAACCCAAAAAAACTACATTATGGAAACATTTATTGTGATGGGATTTTTTTTGTCTGGTCATTGGTGACCGGGCTGAGACCATCAACTGTACTTGAAACCCCGGTCTGATCATGTGTGGGGTGCCTGGATTCAAACCCAGCAGCGCAGTGGCGCTGGCTCTGCATATCAGAGCCCTGAGCTACACGGCCACCTTCGCATGGGTGTGTTTTTTAATGCAGCTGCGGTAACGTGACTGGCGCCAGGACGGCGCCACAAACAGGATGTTACTTGCTGCGTTGCATCCTGGGAATTTCTGTTTATTTATGGAAGAAATTACGTCGCGATTGAAGCTTTGTGTTGTACTGTAATTGACTCTAATCAAAACCAGGTCTCACCGCGCGACTCCGTGGTAACAGCACGTGCACACGCGCACACTGGCATGTATAACAAGCCCTTAATTATACTTTGTAGGCTATCGGGGAAAGTGCCGTTAGCCCATTGAGGCTTGGACGGTACACATATGAGGTCTGGGGGAGCCAATTTGTACCACACCAGCGCTGATGTTTGTAACCAATTACCACACGCCAGGTGGAATGCATTTGAGGTTGAATCGATCTTTTTCAGAATTTGTATTCAGACTCGAAGAATACGATGAGCTATAAAGCTTTTTTTCACAGATGTCCAGTATATGTGGGTTAGAAAGTTACAACAACAAACAATGCAACATTTATTAAGGGTTTGGATTAAAATACCGATTGGCAACTCAATTCATCAACAACAACAACCGCCATTCGCCACTAAGTGGCGGTGACGTCACCACGACGCTTGTGCCAGGCCAAGTGCACCTTGAGGCCACGTGAAGTGTCGAACGCCCGCTGGCAGGAGGTCACGGGACAGACCCAGCAGGTGCCACGGGTCGACTGACCGAGATGACCGAGATGACTGGCTGATGCACCACCTGTGCCCCCTACTGTACCAACTTGCTGTGCTTTAGCCACCCGGCGCTCCGCTCGTTGTTGTCAGCGTCGCTCCTCCGCCCTCCGTTGTTGTTGGAGGGCGACTGCCTCCAACTGCCCAGTAGCGTCCTTCACGAGCCTCCTCCACTGAGGCCGATCTTGACACCGCTGGTACCAGTCATCGGCAAGTCCACTCAGCTCCACGTCCTCCTGTACCACATCACTCCATCTCTTCTCTAGCCCGTGCCGCGCCTGTTTAGCCCCCTCGATCCGGCCGAACAAAAGCTGTTTAGGCATGCGGTGGCTGGGCATGCAGCCTTGCCTGCCGGAGGAGCTCACCGATGGGACTTTGACCAGATCTTTCAAGGATTTGTGAGCTCCTCACACAATCCAGCCTGGTTAAACCCAGGATGGATCGTAGGCAGGCCAGCCTAAATGTTTCCAACCGGCGAAGATGCTCCATTAGGGGGGTCCACGTTTCGCAAGCGTAGAGAAGGGAGGGAATGACTGTGGCCGAGAAGACCTGAAGCTTCGTGCGGAGCGACAGACCAGGTAGCTTCCACACA